GAATTGAAGAGCGGAAATCTACTGTGCAATTTTTCTCTCATTCTAAATTTTCTTCCTTACATATCAGTACACGGGCAACTGCAAAATAATGTTCTGTCCTTTTTTCTCTAGTGCGTACAACGAGTACCTACATGCATCAAAGAAAATATTAACGGAATAACCATCGTAACAAAACACAATACAAAATAACACATAATATATATTTATTCGACAAAATATAACCTAAAATTATGCTCAGTACTGTAGTAACTGTACAGTAATATCCTGACCACATCTAAGTACGAGTACTAGCCTATTCTCATTTGTATCTTGTTCTATACTCGTATTTGTATCACGAACCACATACCTGCTTTTAGGGTTTCGATGCTTCGTAGCCATGTATAATAGACTTATTGCGATTTTTTGTTACACATATTTGATTTTTTCTGTGTAATATTAAAAATTTACTTGCATTTTTAAAGCAGTGCAAGTAATAATGATTGGGCAATATGATATATACACTACATTACAGAATATACATATAACACTACCAGTCACAATGGCAATATTATGGGATATAAACCTGCAAATACTTCTTCATCGTCAGCCTATCGCAGTACATAGGCCTCTCCTATTGCATGCTGCTTTGATCAAAATACTTAAACAACAAAAATGTCGCAACAAGAATTCAGAAAATTACAATCAACACTTCCTTAATTGCTAATGACTGGGCAGGAGCACGACGAAATTGGCATTCTTTCTACCATAAATTTAGAAACTAAATGCTAGCTTTAAACAGTAAAGTAAGTGTATCCGCAGGGAGGATAAAAACCCAGAAACCGCTGGGTTAGACCTTTTCGAGTTATTTATTGCTAATGTTTTACTCAGAAACGTAGAATTTGTCGTGCACGTCACTACACAAATCTTTACTTCTCACTGCGGGAAAACCTTTTATCCGAAGATAACGGTTTGAACTTTAATCCCTTGCCTAAGATGTTGTCGTATTAAGCAGCTAGAAATTGAAAGCTGCCTAAGAACAGATTTGTATTCAATAGTACCAACAATGTGATTTCTTAAGAAGTGTCAATATATAATACTTGAATAATGAAATGCAACTATTCAGTTGCCTTTTACTGGGCATTGAATATGGATTAATACTAAATGTAGATATTACTTCGTGCTACTTTATTTGTATTCCTTGCTAGTGCTACGTTCTCGTGGAGTTGAATTTTCAAAGTAATTTTTCTCTGTGAAGTAAAGTCTCTCCTAGAAATTTTGCCACTCGATCATGTAAAAAAGAAATCTAATATCCGTTGCTTTATCCCGATTCTCGGGTCGTTACTAATCTTTTTTTGAACTACTTGAAATATTTTCTTTAGGAATTGTACCGCACCACCCGTTCGTAATAGCAGATTGATTACATCTTTTGATTCCAGCAAGTTAAAGTAGAAAGAATCGAACGATCGATGACAATATTTTGTCTCCGTTCTTAGCAAATCTTCTACGCCTATTTATTTGTATTGATTTAATCGGAAACCTTACTTAATACTTTGATGGGCAAATAAATTCGTCGTGGCAAATTGTTTGCCCGTTAGTTAATTATACGATAGGATTATATGTAATTGCTTATGACGATAATACTACAAATAAATAGTTAGTCAAGTACTTTACGGTATTATAGTACAATACTTACCACAAACACGTAAACAGAATAAAGTCAAAGTGGTTAAACAGTAAATTAAGAATATAATGCTTTCTTCTGTTAATTCATACAATACAGCATACAACATATTGTATAAATTAACAGTGCTATAGTATATCTAGCGTGAAAATTGTATCCCCAAGCCTACTATATTTTCCCAGAAAACAATTTAAACTAACGAGTACACTTTATCATAAAATTGTACTTTTAGAAAATAATAAATACCTCTAAGGTAAGAGAGTTAGTTATCAAAGACCACCCGTTGTTGAGTATATTCATTGCATTCCCTAGGGCCTCGTATGTTTTTGCGATTATCAGTAGCACTTTATAATATTATGAACTCTTAATGTATACAAGAAAACATACTGTTTACCGAAACAAGGAAACCTTTTATCAAAATTGTTTAAGACACATGGTTTTTACTTTTAACATTATTTTTAAAACCAAGTTACTAAGTTTAGTACAAACAGTCCACATCAGCAATCTCCTAATAAAGGTATATGTTATGTTGTATCTCAATTCCTAAAATTTTTATTTCACAAACTTTTTAGTAAAGAACACTGAGCAATGAAATGAAAAGGAATTGCAATCCGTAAAGCGGACTATGACGTACTACATTAGGACTCTTTAAAACTTTAAACTTGTAAACTGTTTGATAGCTTAATGCAAAGCTATTAAAGCCCACGTCAAATTATTTTAGACGTTTAACTTCAAACTTAACTGAAATGTTAACTTTTAGGATTATTGTGTACAACATTGAAATAATCACTATTAAGCAAATCCCTTTTGACCTGGTAATGCTAAGTAATACCTCTAGTATGGCAATCGGATGACGTATGTCTACAGTACCAGTGATATGTGAACGTCATGTACAAATTAAGATACTCATTGAACAAGCTGTCAAAGCGGATTCCGGAGCTTCGCCACCAGATTGAGTTAAGGCTGGATAGTCACTTAATTCACATGAATATTTTCAGCATTTACTTTAAAACTTTATTATACGTAGATGTTATAAATAGAACATTGCTTTAAAATGTCACGCAAAAAATTGATTGAGGTAAAATTTAACTTAATTTCTGTTGGAGAATTATATTAGGTTATTACGTTTGGCCGACAGAGGTTCGAAAACTTCAGATTGAAATGACAAATGTCTGCGTAGAAAATAAATGAATCCGATTCATTATGATGCCTACGAGAAAAGTACTTTTATTTATTGCTAGCTGTCCAATGAATAAATTTTACCTCGATCAAGTAGTATATATTAAGTGGTCACAATTTGGTCATTTGCATAGGGAATCCGATATTGACTCTGCGTGGGTTCTGTGAAGCATAGTTGATTGTACTAAAGTTGTGAATATTTTAGGTTATTGTTTTCTATCGTAAAAGCAAAGAAGGCATAGTTCATACTCGTATGAAGACTATATTAATACATTTCAATAAAATCAAATCAATCAAAATAAATATATTTAAAGAAAATAAAAAGAGGCAAAAACTAGAAGGCTGGTTTTACGCCTCTTTTTATAATCATCATGATCATCATCAGCCTATCGCAGTTCACTGCCGGACATAGGGCTCTCCCATTGCACGCTACTTAGATCGATTTTCGGCTTCTCCTATTTAGCTCCTTTACATTATATTAATATTATTCCTTCCTTTTTATTATACAGATGGTTTATTCACCCTTTTTTTTGTAAAGCTACTCACATCTTTCCAGTTTACAGTTATCTTTCTTTTTAAAATAAATGTACAAAATAGGAAAGTATTTACGGGGCTCTAATATTTTTACACTGCAAGAAACAAGGACGCTATTGTTAAAGTTCTTATAATTGATTGCTTGTTATTGCCGAAATATAATTTATATGTAAATACACTCTATCATCTTCACTCATGTTGTCAGTTTTACAGCTACTAAATCCTAAAATAAAGCGACAGAATACATTATAGATATTCATATAAACCTCACTTACAACAGATTTGTGGTAGCGCAATAAGCACGTAGCTAAGGATTATCTATGTTTCATCCGAATAAACTAAATTTACACAACAACTCTGTTAGAATAATAGTGCCACTTATGTTAGTACACAGTGCCAGCATTACCATACGAATGGGCACTGCTGTTTTTGTAATAGGGATTAGTGTGTGCACTGGAAGTGTAACTTGTAAAACTGTAACTTAGTTCTAGTTATATAATTAGCTATTTAAATGTGCATAGGTAATGTGTGTAACTAGTAATTAAGTTTAGGAGAGCCATTCTTTGGCACAAAGCGGGCGGCTCGAGCGGACTTACCACGGACTTACAGAAGACCGGTGTTATGTAATTAGGGCGTTGCTTTTCACCAAGTGAGTAAAATCGGCGGAGCCTCAACTCCCACTCCTAATATTTTGGCCCCTAAAGAGCGGCATCGCACTTATTTCCTTTCTAGGGTATATACACCTGCTTCCCCGGCAACTGGTACCCAAGACGGCGTGCCGTTTTTGGTCGGTTCGAGTCCGACATAACTTACTACCAAAATTTATATTAATTTTTAACTTTTTTATTCTTTGGAATTATTCCTTTATTTGTGCTGTAAGATGTTTCTTTTTGCCAAATTTCGTGATTCTAGGTCAAGGGGAACTACCATTTAGGTTTTCGACCCAAAACCTATAGGGTACTTCCGGTTGACCTAAAATTGTCAATTTCGGTTACAAGCAAGGTCTTACAGCACAAGTAAAGAGTAAAATTCAGAATAATAAAAAAAGTTGAAATTTAAGGTAAATTTTGGTACTTACAAGTCTTCGCGAAAATTGAAATTTGCCCATATTATTATCTTTTTATCGTGTTGACTCAGGACCTTGATTTTTATACACCTAGTAGAGACCATAGACCTCAGTATCTGGTATATATTTCAACTTGCTAGGTCTACCCGTTCCTGAGAAAATCGGTGGTGACACACGGACAAACGGACAGACGGACAAGAAAGTGATCTTATAAGGGTTCCTTTTTACCTTTTGAGGTACGGGCCCTAAAAAAGGGCGGCATCGCATTTGTTGATCTTTTGAGTTGCATGTATCCATAGGCGGCAGTAGTCACTTACTATCAGGTGACTCGGTATACTATGAAAAAAAGTAGCCACTGTCTTGAAAAGACCACTAAAAACGCGAAGTTTGTGTTTCTATGTAGACCTATCGGTTTCGTCTGACCAAGCAATTAATTATGATTTCTATTATCATTTAAATATTCATCTTTTGATTAAGAATTCCTCTTTATAAGATTTTTCAAGCTTAGGCTTGAATTTGCTAAAGGGCAAATGAATTGCATCAACAGGTATTTTATATACCATGAAGTCGCAAAGAGTTACGCAAAAGACATGGATTTTGGTAAGCGATAGTATGTGTATTTCATTATTGTGAAGCAATTCTTTAGTAGATTTTCATAAAGTAAATAAGAATAGGAATAATAAATGTGAGAAATAAAAATATATATCTAAGAATACTGAAAATACTACTAATTTTCTTAAATTTCAAAGTAAACTTGATATTCAATTGAACGTAAAAAAGTAATATACCTAATCGCACCAAGTCTGAAGCGGTCTCAAGTAACGCTCCACCTATCCATTAACTACTTTAGGTATTCCTGGTTGCTTGGGACAGAACCGGCTAATAAATAGGCTCTTATTCAGAGTTCTACTTTATTCTTGCTCCGATTTCAAAAGTGGTTAAATGCTTATTAAAACTTTTAGAGACTTCCAGGTCTAGTAACTATTAAGAACTTCGTTTATATTTACTATTTTTAAATATTTCTGCAGTAAATCCTTATCCATTATTATATTATTAATTATTATTATATTATATATTAGTCCATATCAACTTTTTAGTATAAGCGATTTTTTTACAGCATGAATATAAATTGACCTTAAAAAATATAAAAAAGGCACTGCGGCATGGATATACCTTTGTAAGAATAATGTAATAATTCATACATATATTGGGTTAATAGAATTCTAAAACCAATTATATCGTAACGATTTCAGATATGCCTTGAAATTACGACCTGACCTTCGCCTTCGTTGAGGTATACGTATACAGATTACACAGATTTGTATTCATACTAAAACTAATTAAACTTGTTCAGTATTACTGCGTTGATTTAAGTGCTTTTGTACAGACTGTTACCTTATTCGAATATAATTCTGTTGATATTAATTACAATGCGGTTTGTGGTTGAAATCAAGAACGCGGTACATACGAGTACTACTAATACTGGCTTAATATTATTTCATACTTAATCACAATTAGTTATATGAAGTAACAATTCCCTTTGAAGTTGAAAACATTTTAGAGAAGCTTTAAATTTCGGGCATATATGATATATCGTATTTCAAGAAATATTTTAATTTTACTCTTATTAGAAAAACTGGATTGGATTGCTGCTGGATTGAGTCATCCATCTTTCTCAGATAATTTCAGAGATGAGAACAAATAACCCAAAATAACCGTCCACGAAATATCGTCCGCCGGTGGCCTGTATTGCTCCATGTCCATATGTAGCGAGACTTTAGTCAAGCCAGAGTGGAGTCCCAACTATGGAACAATATTTTCTGTCGGATTGCAATGAAATATCTCACTCTCGTTGTCTGCAAAATTTAAGGCTGAAAGTGGTATCTGGACCTTTTGTTTTCAAATATTTTACAGTGTTCGGAAGTTGAAGCTTACATTGTCTAACACTTCTGTGAACCAGGACTTTCATTGTTGTGCATGATTTTGTGATTTGGAGCAAAGTTAGAAGTTTATTGCACTCTACACGTTATCTGTTGCGCTAACAGTGTTATTTCGTTAGCTTTAAGGTGTTCCTAAACGTTACTGAAAGGGATCTCATTACAATAAGAAACTCCTTATCGCTTTGCATAACAAAACAGTGAATCTTCACTTTAACTCGGCGCTCGAGTTGGTTATTCACAAAAGTTAATATACTTAATTTCACTATTTCACGATATCTTGGTGTGCATATCGAATTAGTTAAGTTAAATAACAGAGCAATTTAACATACGGGGCGTGTTGTCTGGGTGTGTAGAAGTTCTAGCACAGAGAAAACTTTTATTTGATAAAGTGATATGGTCATAAACAGCACAAGGCAGTTTTTCACGGAATCTATTTATATTTAAAAAGGGTCTTACAACAGTGACTTCAGAACTTTGACAATTGGAAGCGGTCATATTGTTGAAGCTACATCCTTCGAATTGATCTGTCATTTATTCAGTCTGTTCTGATAAATTACCATGGGCTGAATCAACAACGGAAGATCTGGAAAATCGCCGTGGTCCTTGTAAAAGTCCAGGAGAATCCGAGGAAGTCGATTTCTTGTTGCTCACAAGAACTTGGGCTTGCATACGGGCATTTTAAGATTCTTCTGAAACAGAACACCACGTAGCTCATACCACATTGGACATTCTGCATAAGTGAATTAAGGGTATAATTAAAGGTCATGTGAGATCACATGGAGGTGATGTGAACTGACCACCGAGATCGTGCGATGTTAACGTTTGTCTTTTTCTTGGTATTCTTAAGTCCATGGAAATAGGTAAAAAATCTCAGCGGCCTTCTTTAATAAATAAGGAAACCCATCGATTTGAACAAAAAATATTAGTCCACTTCCTTAAAATTGATTTAAAATATTCATTTCTTTATTACTTTGTCTAATATGTATAGTCAACATTAGTATAAAAATTGTTTTAACTGCTAGACACACTAGTGACCTATTTCGTAAATATCGATATAAACATATTGTTGTTGACAACACTTAAAGGTTTAGTTATTGCAGTTGAAACAACTTTTTGAGAAGCATTTATATACTTTAGCAAAGTTCTAAAAATATAATAATTACATGGAAATAGTTAGAATGATTCACCTTATAAACAGTAGAAATCTCATAACCATCCATCATATATTACTAGGTGTATTCTTTAAAAATAAGTAGAGCTTTGTGAAAGATCCTTTAAATTTGTGTTTAGTAGACACTTAAAAAAGTTAATATCATTGCTGATGTTATGGGAAGTGACGCTAAGTTTAACGCATTTTAGGTTGAATAGCTAGAAGATAAATAGCACCGTATATTGAATAGTGCGAAAAACGGCCGCCCAAGTAGTGGTTTCTAAATTTATTAGCAGTTGAGCAATTAATTCGGATTGAGTGCGATCCCACGGCTTTTCACCGTTTTCAATTGAAATCTGTGGCAACTTTGTTGCGGACACCAGTATATTTGGCGGATTACGGGAGGGGTGCAATATCGAAATCGGCAGTTGGGCCATATGCCAAACGCACTCATGCATAAAATGAAAGAGACTTAGAGTGAATTGCCGGCTGAAAGTCAAAATGGAATGTTACATTTGTTTTTAATTAAATAAATTCTACTTTAGTTACCTATTAGTCTAACTTTAAGATTTGACTAATAAACCTAAAGACATAGAAGCCAGGAGTATTTGGTTTTTCCACTAAAACCCCACCGCGACGGCCGGCCTCAGACGCCTTAATCTTGGGAGGACGACCACCTAACTAGGCCCTATCCCGAGGGAGCCGAGAGGCTTCCCCCCGCGTCATCCACGTCAAGTCGACGATTGACTTCCCCTGCCACCGCACTCAGGCACGCAATACTTAGCCCTGTCGCCCTACATCCCAAACTCTAAACTAAGCTAAACATTTTTGCTCCGAAAAGTATATATGATATGCAGATACAAACATGAAGTTCAAACTTATCAATTCAAAGTTTCCGTTGTAACATAAAACCCGTACATTTTATCACCAAGTCAACATTTTTGTTCTTTTTTCAGGCCCTTCTACAGGCGCATGATGTGGTCGCCCGTGAGGTGTACGGCGAGGAGTCGCTTCGAGCATCACCACCACCAGTCAACGGGCGTACTACAGCACCGCCTCCCGAAGAAGAGGATGACACCGAGCCGGAATTTGAGAACGTGACTAGGGTGCGCCTCGTGCAATTCCAGAAAAATACTGACGAACCTATGGTGAGTCTCTTAAACTACGACTGAAAACCATATTTATACGCTACATTTACGCTACATATATATTTATACGCTATATCGCTATATCGTCTTATCGCTCACGGCGCTCTCTAACAAACAACCTGGTTAACCAATATTTGTTTTTAATACGACAACGCCACTAAAGAAATACACTTAAAAAACTTAAAGATCCTAAGTAACTCGTATAAATAAAATAGTAAAAGATTAATGTTAGATATTATTTTGATCTCCTTTTATTTAGAATATGATCGAATAGTGTCTGCAGTTAATTATATACCCATATAGGAACATATATGCACACTTTACTAGTTATTAATATTTATGTATACTTTGTCAAACGACAAAGTATTGACACCCGGAGTGAATGCAATTATCATCATAAAACATTACTCTCCCTAGTTTAATAAAATGAGAGTTGGCCTAAACAACATAATTATGTAATAAATACATTAAGATAAAAAATAATATTCTATTCCATTCTATTTTTTTTCCAGGATTTATAATTAAATCACTTTTATTTAGCTTTAAGTAATTGGTTTACTAACAAGAGATTATTTTTACTTTTTGTTCGAAAAAATAGCAGAACTCTTGGTATGAACTGCAAGAACGAAATAGACATATACATATGTTCTATGAATGGAATGAGTGAATTGAAACGCGCAATATGTTCGTCGGACCTTTATTAAAGCTCCGGCAGTTGCTAAGCAATTTCGTGTCTGTCAATTGGCTTCTGTCTTTACATATTCCACTACCTATCTATACCGTCATTATTATTAGCCTTAACTTTAATGTTGTTTAAATATCAATTATATCATCATTTTTATTTGAATGTATATAATTCTTCTGTATTTGTGTATGTACCTAACCGCTGGTCCGGTAATCTTGTTTTTTTTACCTGTTCGAGCTCGTCTCTCTTTTATCATCACTGAAATTGTATCTTAATTTTTTCCCAAATGTTCCCATGGCACTAAATCTAACTGAACTGAACTTCTATTTTCAAGTAGGCCAACGTCCTTAATAAGATATCTTATAATCCAGCAATTTTAATTACGTGCGATCATGGAGTGATTCGATTTTCGGGTTGAACAATATACCCGTTCCTTATTACTTTTAACTAAGAATATAGCTTTAACATTAATGTAACAAGGAAGTGTTAACAATATACTCTGTCAGGAGATGTATTACTCTGCACTTTGTAGTTTATTCTACAGTGGTTTCTTCATAGGTGAATTATTTTTAATGCTTTGAAGAATTCGTTTTTAGGGCATAACTCTCAAACTGGCAGACGACGGTAGATGCATCGTAGCTCGCATCATGCACGGTGGTATGATACATAGACAAGCCACACTCCACGTGGGCGATGAAATCAAAGAAATCAACGGCACACCCGTAGCAAACCAGTCCGTAGCACAACTACAGAGGATGCTGGTACGTATTTATACTCTGTCACAAATTTAATAAAACATTATCATAATTTGTCTAATATATTTTTATTATGTCATAATAATAGCATTTGTTGATCGATGTTCGAAAATAAATGGAAACGTTTACAAGCTTCGAATTACTTTTTTAAACGTAGTTATGCATAATTTGAATCACTCAAGACTCGGGCGCGGGATTCCTAAATATCCCATACCGGGCGATAGTTTTACGATCGAGAAATTATGGGATGGCTTAATCCGGGCACGACGTTACTGCGGCGGTAAGACCTGTTATGGAGGATTGGTTCGAGCGTAAACACGTGATCCTCTGATACCGGCTGACGCAAAGGCTGCATTGAAGATCACTTGTGTATGATCCGCAAAGAGCCAACGCCTGGCTGCCACCACTGCGATAGCCAGAGCGTGGATACGACGCTTCCCACCCTGGCGCAATGCCCGGTGTGCGTTGAGTAGAGGCATGACTTTGTGACTGATTCCGGCCATGGTACGGAGCGAGCGCGTGTAGAACTCCGCTATTATAATAATTTTTACTGGCAGATAGCTGAACTTAGGCTACTTTTATTTTGAGAGTTCCATGCATATATATATATATATTTAGTTTAAAAAAGACAGCTCCCGCATTAGGAATTCCTTTGTCGAGGGGGACTTTACAAACATACATGAAACGGACACAAAGAACACCCAGACTCAGAACAACAATTTATGGATCACACAAAGTGTAGTCCCAGGTGGGGATCGGACCCACAGCACTTGCGTAGTAGTAAGCGGCGTGGCGACCGCTTAAACCACCATCACCATCACGATTAACGCTATCCGTGCAGTCTATATACATAGGTACACAGAAGCGAAGTCGTCACGGGCACAGCTATTAAGATACAATTTGATATTTACTGCCTTACTGCGTGTTATTGTATATTGTATTTGCTTCTAATGTTTGAATGTACAATTTTCAGCGTGAAGCTCGTGGATCAGTGACATTTAAGATCGTCCCTTCATACCGTTCAGCGCCACCACCATGCGAGGTAACAACGACTTTATACACATTCGTTATGCTCGAACGGAAATAATAGCCTTTGGTATATAACCTCAAGTTTTTCGTCAGTGTGGTTTTAAAAGTAGATGTAATATTAGCTCAGTATTAACACTAGTTTCAATTAAACACTTGAATAAAAATATACATAAATATTGTTTTTTCAATAACAATAGTTTTAGTAGTGTGTTTTTAACGCTTGTTTTACACTAAAATATATTAGAAAAAGTCGACAAGCGCACACAAAGTTCTGTAAAAGCTTGTCTTTAAGCAAAATTGGTATTGAAATTTGAAAAAGAAAATAAAATTGTTGTATTTTTGTTCTGATTAGCTTTTCCGGATAAAGCCTTCGCCCGTGCTAGTAAGTAACGAGAACAGACCCGTTGCTACTTTATGTTATGTTTATGTTGTTTGTCTTATGTTGTAAGGGCGTATCCACACGTTTGGGGTTAGATCCGGATATATTTAAGCGCATGGTTGGTGTCCTAAAGTGCTTTAGAAAAACCCATCTTTAATATTATCGTACACAGCATCTTTTTATTACATGATATTTCTGAGGAGAAGTTTTAAATGAGTAGGCAATTACCGTTTGGATTAATTTTTGTTTCTGAATATAGAGAACTGTTCGGACTCGACCGTTCGCTTGGAATGAATCGGGCACTTAAATGGACCGGATAATCTGCATGTCTGTGGCCGCCTTTATGTTGTTATATGTCACCTGGGCATGGCTGACCCCGCGATATCCTAATTATGTGCGCTTGTTGTTCTTTTCTCATCGCACCATCATCTTTCATCACTTTCTCACTACTGTCTTGTTTTTTTATTGGTTTACCATTTGTTTTCATACTATATTAACTATTAACAACTAATGCATTTTACAATCATTACTTGAACTTGAAATTTCATCAATCAAAAAAAATTAAGTGGCATTATATCAATCATTTAAAATTGGAAGTTTGACAGATCTTTTCTTGTTTCTTAAACAAATGATGTCTTACTAAGCCCCCACTTTGATTCTCTTTACAAGCCCCGCCATTATAAATTGTAAGAATACCTGTTTTATAAACATTGGCGGGTAAATAAAAAAGTAATAATTATTTATATGAGAATGTTCCTAATTCAAATGTAATATGATTTTTTATTGTACTCGTATTAATTGCCGGACTGTCTATTTAACTAGAATTTTCTTGGTTCTATCGGCGATTTAAATTAACCTAAAGAGATCTGTCACCCTTTGAAAACTGTTGCCAAGTACTTTATCATATTCCAGTAGTATCATTTTCATAATATCGTTATTCGCTTCTCTGTCTATTAATGTATTATAGCTCTTATCATTATATTTCTTTATTCTAGATATTCGTGCGAGCACAATTTGATTACGATCCGTTAGAAGATGAACTGATTCCTTGTGCGCAAGCGGGCATTGCGTTCAACACAGGAGATATACTACAGGTCAGGATTTAGTCTATAAGTGAACTCGAAAACATTATTTTTTATAATTTCTTTCAAATCTTGACTGCGTTGTTGGACTCATGACTGTGTATTAATAGACTTTAAGACAAGTAGGTAACTACAACTACTACTAAGTAATCACTAGGGACGTAAGGAATTGGTGTCTATAAGAAACCGGTTTAACTTTGCAACAAATTCTGTGCATTATATGTTTTTTTATGCAACACGCTATTAAATTTCCTGTTTGCAACTTTGGTAATATCATTCCTTGAAATGTGTTCAGATAATCAGTAAAGACGACTCTCACTGGTGGCAAGCGCGCAAAGACGCGGCGGGCGGTTCAGCCGGCCTCATACCGAGCCCTGAACTGCAAGAGTGGCGCGCTGCTTGCGCAGCCGCTGAAAGATCTACCACTGACCAAGGTAAACATAATATTAATGATAAAAGAATGTTTACGCCTGTTATCACTGTCTTTTTACAGCTACATGAACACAGATTTACAGATCCCCTGGTCTAGACTTCTTGATTTATACAGATTAATCGGTTTGAAATTGCAATATCGTGAGTTTGCCCTATGTGTAGAACCCTATTTTCAACCACATTCCCAAGTAGGACGCGTGACGAGCGGCCTGCATTAAGAGAAACCAGGCTAACATTTTGCAATGTGCCATATTCTACCGACTTCAAAATAAAATTTAGAAGATGGTAGAAAGATAAGTATGAACAACCCTATTGCCGTCAACTGGGTACTTATACTGGGTATAAATACTCGTAGGTAAAATAAATGGGTGTACGTATAGGTAATATACATATGCACTTTGGCTTATATACAATTATAAAAACCTATGTTCGCTTATTATATAGGCGTTTGTGTAATTTGTGTTCGAATTATTAAATCGGATGTAAGATTTGTTGCGAATCGCACAAATCTTTCGGGTTTTGGTGAATTACGTTATAGTGATGTCGTTATAATCTAGTCAAGTTCAAGTAATCTTAAATATGATCTGGTGCGCGACATGACTTGAAGATTGATATGCTTAGAAAAGAATTTTCATTTTGATCATTGTTTTAAAAAGACGGCTTTTATAAGCCCAATAAGCACCCACCTACTTGCTTGACAAGCAGGGTTGTCACTCACACATTGTCGTCGTACCTAAAACATCTATGTTACGTCGATTTGCTTAGGTTTGGGGCCATTGATTGTTTAATATCGCTCCTTAGACCAGTCTGTGTCTTATGTTTCTGTTCACGACTGTGACGCTCCTGACCTCTATGATGCTTCTCATATGTCGGGCACGTAGCACGAATCATTGGATTTGCAAAGCATTTTGTCGATGTTGTATGTGTATGTGGATGTACATAAATAAATGTTTTATGACCCATGATCAGTTGAAAATCAAGCTCAAAGACATTATTGGTTTCTTTTAAAAAAGGTTTATTTCCTTTACCTCAAAATTGAAATTAATCCAACGTTTTAATTAGTTCGATGTATCGTGATCATGGGTGCGCTAATGCTGGCGTAGAGGTGTAAAGGGCAGGTTTTGAAAACGGAAGAAAACTATAGTGAAAATACTGTAAAACTACCATTTTATATACTTATCTAAAATCAATGTCATAACAAGTCAAAACCAGCACTTTACTTTGTTTTTATGTAGTAGACATACCGTCCATCCATGATTGTCAAACATATAACAATTTCTGCGTTGCAACCTTTTTGGATTCCACGCGTTTAAATTAAAAAAAAAATAGTTTAAAAATTGGTAACGGTCTTTCGTTAACTCGTTTATTTTTAGGACCTGTATCACCACTATTTATGGCAAAATTATATGATATGCGAGGTTTCTTTCGTAGAAGACCAATACGCATATACTGAAATACACTATCCTTACAATTTTGATATTGATTCGCTACCCGGCTTCACATTTTAATAGTTTAGTAATGTCGCAGTCTGTCATATAACTTAGGATTATGTCGATATTATGTAGTAATATAATACTGATATCTGCGTTTTTCTGAGATGAAAAAGTCATCTTTTTTTCGGAAGTGTACACACACACACACTTTTTTTGTTAAACCCACTAATCTTTGAAATACCTATCTAGATACTAGTCACATTTAGTAAATTCTGTATAGACTATCTAACCTCATGCTAAACCTCTTAGAAGCAGGTCCGTGACCATAAAAGCTTATGAAACGTTTCAGACCGGTTACTATCCGTTACCGGACCGGTGTTCTTTTCAAAAGTGGTGAAGCACTCCCTAAAAATACAATAAATTTACTTTAACATATATCTTATATTGCAATCGTGATCTCCATAACTTACATTAATATTTCATGTTGTGCTTGCGAATCATCATTGGACGAAGCAGTCGGTATGTAACATTGTTTATTTCTTATTTATCTACGAAAAAATACAATCTAATATACGTTTGTTGTAATCAAATTGTACCTCTTCCAATACTGCATGGTACAATCCGAGATACATATATCGTCCTCAAAGGAATTGAGTAGCTTTGATACAAATGTAATATACCCAGTACCTATACGAACCTTTGTAATCTGATGACCATGTCTGGTAATGAAGTCACATAATGTAGAATATTATTGTGTTGGCGCTGATCTCTTTGTTCTATCGCCGACAGAAGTCGCTAAACACATCCAAGGTTACCAAAAATAAAGACTATCAAGACTCTTAATGACTGCTTACATAGTGGTTTAAAAACATATCTGGGTATGCTTTGTGTTTGTTGTTTCAATTTGTATAGTCCCGCTACATAGGAATTATTCCTTGTTCGAAATCGACTGTGAAAAATAATCTTTTGGACCTGAATATAAATCAGTTAAGTACCTTTTTAATGTTTTATGGTCTTTGTCATCACAATTTCCTAAGCTAATGTGTAGTTAATTTCAACTTGTAAACCACGACACTAAACATTTCAAATTAACTACTTGTATACCCAATGCAATAACTATATTCGTAACTAGAATGTAGTATGTTTCATAGGTTTCTTGTTGTTTTTTTGTTGTTGTTTTATTTTTAGGCCACTTTTCTATACAAGCTGTTTCGGGAACACTATACATACATATTTTTTGAATAAGATTGTCACCAGATTATGACGTTCCCAATTGTGTCTACTTCGAAAAAAACATGTGTTCAGCTACTTCCAGTACCGATATTTGCAGTCCAGTCTATTGGTACCTTTATTTATTTCATTTCGTAAAACAGTTTAAGGCACTGTGCATTACTTTGACTTCTGAAAAGGGCAATACTGTTGTCAATTTCGAAAAAACGTGCCCATGAACACATATTTTCGATAAATAATTTTAAATCAGTTGAGTGCATTGCAAGATCGGCGTGCGAATGATCGGCGCAAATAAAAGTTAGTTGTTCGACATTTTCTACACGTACAACTTTTTCCAACACATAACACAGGTCAACAAATTTTTTACCAAGAAACCAAAGTATACTTTTTTGTAGAATTTTGATGCGCTGAATCCAAATCCGGCCGCAGAATTGCTCTATCACGTCAGGTTATTAAGATGTTCTAATCTAAAAGTTCAAAAAACGCTATTTTTGTCCATTTTTGAGGTTACCCCTTCAAATTTTATTATGTCTAAAAATGTACGAAGAGTATCTTGAAGTTCAGGTCATTAGCTTTCAAATGACGTTGAGTTTGCTCAAATATCTTTTTTTTTTGCTGAGATAGTAGTGAACAGGGTTTGCTTAGTTTAAAGTCTTGTAGTTTAATTAAAGGTTTGCTTAGCTGAACTCGTGGTGGGCAGTATTTGATTGGTTTTGAGGCGAAAAAAATATTTAAGCAAACTCAACGTCATTTGAAAGCTGAAGGCTTGAATTTTAAGATACCCTGTGTACGAATTCCGATTCAGCGCACCTAAATCCTTTGGGAAACAATACTCTGGTTTCTGGGACAGAAACTTTGACAAATTTTGTTAGCCTGTGTAATTGAAAAGGGAGATTGTATAATTCTTAACGTATCCATCACATTGGGAAATGCTCTGTCAGAGATATTGGGTCCTTCTGTGAATGCATCAGCGTGGGTATAAAAATTGGTTTTTGAAAATAACCGGTATATACATAAATCTAAGGAAGGTTTTTCTTAAATACCTTTTTTTTCTTTGTTAAACACAACTTCCGCATAAGAAATATATTCATAAGTCGCAGGGGACTTTACAAACATGAAACGAACACAAAGACTTAGAACAACAATTTGTGGATCACACAAAGTGTTGTTCCATGCAGAGATCGAACCCACAATGCAATAGGAAGCGGCGAGGTGACCGCTTAAACCACTAGGCCATCCGTGCAGTCCGCAGTCCGCAATTATATTATATTAAATGTTGCCATTAAAATAATATTATTATTTTGACGGCAATGATATCTTACCTTTTATAGCCAACTATCTCTTGTTTTACACTTGTTAATATCAGTCAGTAAACTCTCCATATTTGAAACTGAGCTCTTGAAAAGACATGTTCCCGCATTGCGTGTATCCCAAACCGTGTAGTAGCCAGTATACCATCCATTCCGTTGCATGATCGTGTTATAATGTTATGCGGCTAGGAGCCGAGGGCTGCGTGTCCCACACCGACGGTTGTGAGAACACAGGTATTTTACTATTAATGTTTTTTTTTTCTATATATTAATATATTATTCTGCATGGCACCACTACCCAACCTGGATCCTAATGGTTTTTATTAAATTTACGTGATATTTGAACTGAACAGGAAGTTGGGTACAGTTGACGTTTAATAATAATAAATAGGTAAGAGTAGAAGTCTGATTTCATAAAATACTTTTTCTAAGGTATGATATGAACCAATGAAAAATCAAACAAAGTTATGCAAACGGATTCATTATCAAAAAAAGAACAAAATTTACCTTTTAGCGACTGATTGGACAAAACATTTTCATGAATAGTTTACCAGCATAAAATCAGTAATCAATAAACTAACAAAATCTATCCAATTGTTTTGTTTTATACTGTTATGCATGAAACAAAGTTTATACCTGGTATAAAATAATAAATGTTGTTATGTTAAAAATTTAGACAAAACAGTTTTTTCTAAACTATGATTGTGTGTTGATGCCGGTTTGCGTAAGTCCAATCTAAGTATTATCAAATTTCAAAGCTATTCTATGAAATCAGGTATATTCATAGAAGCTCGTTAGCCATCAAATCTTTGTGTTGTGTTAGTAGTGTATATCTTAGATCATAGTAACATAAATGTGAATATGCTAATTGTTAAATACTGTTTGTGATAGTATTTTTATTTTTTTCCGTACTATAATCTTGACTTAAATATCCGTAGAATGTATAATTACGTTTGTTTTTCAAGTTTTTTGTCTTTTTATGCCATATTCGGGCAAATTAGACGTGAACGAGGGCGACGTATCTCCAGCCATTCTTTGGTCAACACTAGTTTTTGCCAGGATAAGTTGGTATGTGCACCGCTGGGAAATGCAAAAAGCACGTGTAACAATGTACATATATTGTATAGGTACAGTTTAACTATTTCATACCGCTCCGGAATATACAAGAATAAATTTGACTATTTAATGTTACATTTGAATTTAATATATTTATACATATCAAATTTAAGCTATAGTAACAAACCTAGCCTACCTGGAGATTGTTACATAATACGTATTTTTGCACAAAAATGCATGGCTAAGGACAAATTTGGTTTGGTACATTAAATTTAAATCTACTCAAAATACACCTCTTAAACTTTTTACTGCAGCATGGTTTTAACATTTTAAATATAAATAAAATAAAACAAAAAATAGCAGAAGCTGGCTTCGAATTTTTTTACTAGCATTTTTTATTAACATATATGGGCAACATTAACTATTATTCTACCGTTTGTTTTAGTGAATTGTTCTATATTCGGACGCAAGAAGAAACAATCGAAGGACAAATATTTAGCTAAACATAATGCCGTTTTCGATCAACTAGATGTCGTCACGTACGAGGAGGTCGTCAAGTTACCATGTAAGTTATTTAAAAGGTATGACTTCTTTTATAATACACAGATGGTGCAATAGTAAATGCAGTAGTCGCCTGAACCTAGTGGTAGGTGTTGTGAACCAGCACAATTGAAAAAGAGAATGTTAGGTCATCAGATCAAATATTTTAATGTATGTATAAAAAAATACTTTTAAGGTTTTTTTTCCAAATATATTACCAAATTTGCTCTCATAGTATCGTCTATTAATTACTGATAAATCTAGTTTTTATTATGCTACCTTTAGCAAGTGCATACACCTGCATACATCAGTACACACACGTTAAACTACAGAGTTTTGAACTCAATTATAATATGGGATACGCAATATAAGAAATATTTTATCTCATACTTACTACTAAGAACGTAACTTCAATAAGCAAAATTAAAACACTGAAGACTAAAGGGGAAGAATAGGGGCATCAAATAATAATTTAAAGGGCTAATATATCAATGTTTAAATTTGCTTAATGCTACATTACACAGTTAAAAGACATACTAGTAACAACCCACAATAGAATTAATAAATGTACTTAGAACCCTGTCCCACATTAACAGTATAATCTTTTGTGTTTTCAGCTTTCCAAAGGAAGACCATCGTCCTTCTAGGCGCCCACGGCGTTGGTCGCCGTCACATCAAGAACACGCTCATTGCGCGTCATCCGGATCAATATGCTTATCCTATACCACGTGAGTTATTCTTAACTAATATAAATGCGAAAAATAGTGTGCTTTTTTGTTATGCCTTTACCGTTTTAACCATTCTAAAACAGCATCGGGTACCTTTCATTAAGAAAAAAACTTGTTAACACAAAAAAAAACATATTTTCTGCTCGTAAATTATTTATATAATTGACCTAGTAGCCAATATTTTCAACTGCAGTTGAAAATATTGGCTACTTACAAAACGTTTTTTTTACACAAATTTTAATTGCACAATAAAAAGATTTTCAGCTTAAGTCACAGATTATGTTAATGGTTTTTTTTTTAATATCGAATGTTAACATATTATTAAAAGGGATCGTGTGCACTATTATGTATGAAAATAGGCTAGTTAAAATGTCATATACATAGATTAACATATAGTCATAATTAAATATTTGTTTTAGATACAACTAGGCCATCGAGAGCTGACGAAGAAAACGGCAGACACTACTACTTTGTAACCCATGAAGAAATGATGGCTGATATCGCTGCTAACGAATATTTAGAATACGGTAAATTTTAAACATTAATATTTAGTAATGAGTAAATTATTGAAATTTGGAAATATATACATGTGCAAATATGCAATTAATAATTCTTAATTGTGGTGACGGAGTGTTACCATGTATTCCACCAGACCCACGCTCTGGTGCTTTTTAAGGTATTTTGTAATATAATAACTAAATAAAATATTTTACAACCATTGAGATCTAGCACCCCACGCATCCTAACGATTATCGTCGAAAAATATTTTCTACGTTTTAGTTCGTTAAGTTACAAAAGCGTGTTTTTTATGTTTTTTAAACTAAATTTTTTACTGCGATAAACAACACACGCGAGTGGGCAAAAGTTAGTCAATATAAATAATGAGTCCTGGTTCAGGTACTCACGAGGACGCAATGTACGGCACGAAGCTGGACACGATTCGGCGCATCCACTCCGAGCGGCGCATCGCCATCCTCGACGTGGAGCCGCAGGCGCTCAAGATCCTGCGCACCGCCGAGTTCGCGCCCTACGTCGTCTTCATCGCCGCGCCGCCGCTCAACAACGTCGCCGATGTAACTATACTTTTCTTGTTTTGATTATTTTTGCTTGATTAAGTTTTAATTATGAAAAAAAAAGTTTTTTTTAAATACAATATAAGATATTGGAAACATATTGCAAGCTACAAATATGATTTCTATTATTGATATACCCAATACACCGATGCCTAAAATGCCGTATCGTAAACGTAAACTAGCAAGACCTTGAATGTACTGGGCTTTCGTAGAATCTTTATACCGTAATTGAGGTAATCGCACAACACCATCTATCGAGGATGTGTGAGTGTGGTGGTGAGAGTAAACTCTCCACGTTACCAAGTTAAAGTGCACACTGAGTCAAATTGATTATTTCGATTGATTTGCGGTATCAGCAGTAAATAATATTATATTAGCAAAGCGTACGGAAACCGTAGAGAGGCTCAAGTAACGATTGGTGTGTGCAGTACGACGGTTCGATCGAGATCCTGGTGCGCGAGTCGGAGCAGCTGCGGCGCACGTACGGGCACTACTTCGACCTGCACATCGTCAACAACGACATCGACGACACGCTGGCGCAGCTCGAGGCCGCGCTCACGCGCCTGCGCTCCGCCGCGCAGTGGGTGCCCGTGTCCTGGGTCTACTGACCTGCCTCGCCCTTACGAGCTCTGTTGCCATACAGGTTTAACGCTTAACCTGCCCGACTACTTTTTGGAGGAAACGAAAACTGTAAACGTTTGCTGTCGCGTGAAATAGATCTGAGAGGAAAATGATTTATTTAAATTTAGGGAGAGTCGATTTAAATTGAACTGTCGGTACTTTACCTATACTTGAGGCCTGCGTACCTGTGGAAAAGATAAAAACTAAAAATCAATACTGTGCTCACTTTAAAAGCGAAACAAATAGATACTTATTCGATATCAAACTTATGTATCCAAGGTTCATCGGATATCTAGATGACATTTAATATTGTAAAATATAAGACTTCAACCACAAAAGAAAAAAAAAATTAGAGGCCAAAAAAAACCATTTACTTACAATCACAACCTCCAAGTTCTTAATCACGTGACCACTCACAAATATTAAATTGGATCTATGGTCTTCCTTTGACAGCTTTGCTGCGAATCGCGTAAATTGTACAAAAACTTTTCATTCTAATGTACTTACGTTTTGTATCATATTTATTTGGCACAAGTAACTTAAATTCTATATTACTTGGTTCGCACATTAAACTAAAATTTGAGACCAAAGACGGAAATGTCACCAAAATCATCACATCATTATACGAGACTCAACAAAGTGTATAACAAGATACTATAATAGTTTAGTACGTTAGGTATGACAGTTTCGCTATTAAATACTGTATTTTGACGTCACCGTATGCATGTTGTCACTTAAATACTTTGCTATCCTATTTTGAATAGACACCAATTCGTAAGTGATAAGATTTTAATAAATTAATATTATTATTGTCTTACAGGAATTATAAATGCAAAGATTAGTAGTTATTAAGAAAAGTATCGAATTATAAAGTACCTAGACCATTACTCCAGTTTTTCTCAACCAAAAAAGCTTATAGAACTAACAATTTATCTGAGATGATAGGTTAGACCAGACGTGAATAAAATAGTTAGTGCTACTATTCGATGCTCAATAATACCTCTAAGACTCGACGTCTTGTAAGCTGGTTGGTTCGACGATCGAAATTGCTCAAAAACAAACTTAGATATTGGTACCGGTTAACTATGATTATATACACTTTTATTAGTCGAATAAATATTCGATGCTAATTCAAATCGCTATCTTTCCTCTGATCATCATGAACTATAAAATGAAGGTAGATCAGCATAGGGTATTTCAAATTACGAAGGTATTATTAAAAAAGGTCAGCTCTTTGCCTCACAATATTCAGGTTCGGATATTTATAGGTAATTTCGGTCGTTACCCTTAGACTATGTTTAAAATACAGTATATTATATTGTGGATATCTTAGAATTCTTTAAAAGACCTCAGTTAATATAACTTAAACAAGTATTAATTTATAATTGTTGTGATATATTGTTTAATTTAATACCTGTATTTATAAACTGTAACTTATCACGGATAACTAAAAGTCTTGAATAGCTTGCATTGTTACTTTGGTGCATCAAAGCTCAATACACTATATATGTGCCAAATGTGTAACAACCAACATTTTGATGAAAATTACAATTTTCGAACTCACTTGCACACGACACAACACACGATTTTTGGAACAATGTACATAATTATACATTAGTACATAATTTATAATTAAATAAATAATTCTCTAGATATGTACCGTAGCTCAAAATGTTTACTTCGAGATTTAAAACATAAGATCTATTCTACTATTAGTAAACTATGGTAAAATCTTGTCGATTTCCAACTGAAGAAATGAATTTTACTGCACTGTGTGATAGTTTTTCACACATATTAATTATCCAAGTAATCAAACTATTATATCGACTAAATTTGATGTATTAATAATAATATTTCTCGATAAGTTTATGAATTTATTTAAATACTTATCGAACGTATTGTAGTAGGCTTACAGCCGACCCCAACCTAGTTTGGGAAAAAGGCTCGGAGGACGATATGAATTGATTGAAATCACTAAAACAAATGGTATTAGTAATATATTCTTAACCTTACTTAAAAAATACAAAAAAAAAACTCGTACTTAGTTTAAAAAAAACTCATTAGTTTCGAAGACTCCTGATATTGATTATTTATTAAAACTATTTGACACAGTGCTAAGTATTTCTTAGTTGAAAACCGGTCTATTGACTATATCACAGGATTAGAATTCACAGGGTTGCAAGGTTCACGAATAGTCTTTTTTTTTAAATTAGTTTGTACTATGGACACTTTTGTATATTGTACTTATTGCTTTCACTTAAGCGTTCTTTGCAAATCACTAATATAAGTATTTAATTTTAAATGGTGCCATGGAAAAAATATGGTATTTTCAAAGAGCTGTGAGAGAGTTTACCTAAGTTATAAAAATATATTGTGTTGTTTTTGTTATTGTTTTAACGTGATTCAATCATGTTTATATGGATGGATTATAGAATAATATCGTTATATAAGCTGAGTTGAAACTTGCAGTCTTCTTGCAGAGTTTTTTTTTCCAAGATATAGAAATTCAGATTCAGAATGTTCTGCGAGCTGTTCCATCAAACAGTGTCATCACTAGCTCCATCTATTATAAATGCGGACGAAACTGTAGAAACGGTCCAATGCGATGGAGCATTATGCCACTATTGCGCTAGTAAATCGTGGCGCCATCTCTGAATTGGTTCCATTAGCTTTTTACTAGAACTTTTGTCAGTATTTTCGTATGTGGCGAATATTGTAACCGTATTTTTTTAGTTGATAAAACTATAAAATAACACTACATACACCTACAACCGACGTATGTCATAATCATATGTGATATAGCCTCCAGTTATAATAGTCTTATGATTTTGTAACTGATAACAGATCTTCGCCACATCCATATACATTTATTCATATTTTTTCACGCCTGCACTGAAACATTCCTGTATATAAATAAAATGAATGAGTAGTAGAATTTTACTATATAACTCTCACTGTTTCACTATTTTTACTTTAAATATATTTAGGCTAAGTAGGGTTTGATGTAAGGGTTGATTGTTATTATTACGGAGGGATGTTTAACTTTACAATTATGTTCAATTTATGGAATTACAAATATAATGCGGATCTGTTTGTGCGTGAATGCTCAATGAATTAGGTGTAATTTTCGATGCATAATGCATTGAATGGTACAAATACAATAATCAAAATGTTATCATTCTATATTGAGTATGAGCGACACGTATTACTTGGAGTTCCATAAACATTTCTTTTTTGTTATTTGTTAATATCATTTACTTAATTTTAAGTTTAAATCTACTCAAAGAGCAAATAATTTAGTATAAGATACACATAAAACGATTGACACAATTCGTTTTCGTATATTTATTGTTATAACTTTTTTTAGTATTTTGTTGTTTTTTTTATACATTTCTTAAAGTATAAATAATCAATCAATAGTAAATGAAAGTAGTTAAATAAGGGTACAATATTGAATGAATAGTTATATATATATATATATATATATATATATATCATGTAAACAAATCGACGTGTAAAGGTGTGCGATGAGTAGCACTAACATCTATGTTTTGTTGAAAGTATTAATTGTTGCCAGTTAAAATATTGCAATTTTTTATAATAAATTTTTAAAATGAAAGGTTGCAATGTTTGAAAATTAAAGATTTTATTAGTGCAAATTTTAAAATTTTCTCTTTAATTTCATTTATTAGAGATATATAATTCATTTGTTAGAAATAGAGATAGTATATATTATGTATAATAATGAGGATTGTGTGCAAAATATAGATATTTGTTGGCTATGTCACAATTATACAAAATAAAACACATTATTTGCTTAGAAATATTTACTATAATATACTTATTTGTTATAACATTAGATTTGAATTTATAAAAAATTCTTTTAAATATGCACTTTAAATACAGTGCTTATTATATCTATTTTAAGAACATCAATGCTGATAGGACGTTCACTATATTATCGTTATACTGGAATAAGAATTTATCAAATGACATTTTAATATAATTTTTCAAACGTCCATCTATATTATGCACTGTTATTATTATAAACTGTGTTTGTTGAAGGAAAGTTATCTTTTTTTAATATTATAATGCGGTTTCTATAGCTTGATATTTGTAAATCATTCAAATATTTTAAACATTAAATAGTTGAAACTTATTTACTTTATTTCTATTGTAAGTGTTTAGTGCTGCTCCTATTTGGACGAGAGTTTGAGATTATAATCTTGCATGGTAATTATGATTATATGTAATTAATAATATATTTATCTGAGAGTATTTTAATGTTATAAACATCACAAATGAGCGACGCCCGTTTCTTAAACATTCCATTTCTTTTTTGTTCATGTTATATAAATTATTATATTTATTAATCAATTAGAACTAAAATGTTTATATTATTATAGTGATGTGACTTTGATTGTTTATATTCATATGTTACTACTTGTGTTGGTAAGTCATCTTGTACTTATTTCAGTTATAGCACTAGGTGTCCAAAGGGTTAATTTTCCTGTGGTTTTATGTTCAAACTTTAAATATTTTACATTACAATATGATATGTAAGAATCGATGGTATTCCAAATAGTAGTTGAATTAAATGTACTGAAAGTTTAAATGTAAAATCACATGAAATGGAACGAATCTTAAACTATAGTTAAAATGTATTACTTACTAATTTAATTCTTAAAATATCATGTCTGGTGTGAGTTAATTTGGATTGAATAGTTATAAGATTGTAGATCTTGCGTTCGATTCGAATTCACTTCGCTGAAACATAGTCATAAACAGGAAGTGAATGTGTAACAAAATAAAAACAAACCAAAAACCAATGGAAGGTGGTTTTTATCTGGAAAAATTAAGATGACTGACGTAAAATCTTATAATAACTGTTAACAATTGAATAAACAGCACAAAATATTTACTTGTTTTATTTATTACCTAAAGTCCCAGGATGAAAAAAGACGTTTCTCAAAAAAGTCTATAAACGGGTCAACAAAATAATGAAAAAAGGTAAGCTATTATAACACTAGTTTAGAAGTTTTAAAATATCATCTATCTCACTCATTTATCTTTAGTCTCATTCGCTCATGAGACAAAAATCGGCGTCGTTGAGCTAGTGATCTAGTGATCTAGTGAGCTAGTACTGAGTTACTGATATATTCGGAGCAAGTGTGAATGAGTGATACATTTTATCGTCGTGAATGATATATATATTTTATATCACTCACTCAGGAGCTACACAACTCTACCCGGTACCACACCCACTAACCCTTTTTTTTTTTTTTTTTAACGTGTGAAAATCCCCTCGGACCGTCACCCCACCGGGGTTTGCGGCGAGGTGGTGTGTCGGACTCGGACCGACTAAAACCACACGGTGTGCCACTCTGCGCCTGTAATAGGAGGGATCCGGGAACAGCTGTTATTAAGACATCCGGACCCCTCCTAGCGCCTACCCGCTCCTGGTGCGGGCTCCGTCTCAAAATTTTAACCTCTCTTTAGGCGACGTCCGGCACACGCGGACGCCGCCCCCTCGCGGCTGGCCAAACTAATGCGGGTGGAGGGTAAACCCACCAAGTCCACCCGCGGCCACACTCAGGGCGGCATGAGGTGGTGATAGGCGCGCCTCCGCCGCCCGGTTCGCCGGCGGCGGATCGGGTCCGAGTGGAGGTCGTCCTCCCGGGCCTTCTCCGCCTTCTCTAGGTTGCGACCGCGGTAAAACAACTGTCGCTACCGGCCATGGAGCGTACTACGGCCGGTAGCGAGAGATCCACTCCGATGACTGCAGTGAGGGCCCGGCGCTGCGTCGCCCATGCGGGGCAGACCGCCAGCGTGTGCTGGGCCGAGTCCTCACTGCAGTCGCAGTGGTGGCAGGCTCGACTCAGTTCCCTCCTAGCGACCGAGTGCAGGTACTTTCCGAAGCAACCGTGCCCGGAAAGCACCTGCGTCAGCCTGAAGGTAAGGGTCCCGTGCTGCCGCCCTGCCCCTCGGCAATGACCGGCTGGAGAGCCTCCACGGCGGCGAAGCCAGCGCGTGGAGTCTCCAGCCGGAACGACCGACGAGCCATCATGGCTCGGCGAGCGGCTTCGCGCCACTCGCGCACGTCTTCGGGCGGAGGGCGAAATCCGCTCTCCGCCCAGGAGTCAGCCACTCTCCGATAAACTTCGGCGAGCACTTCCGCCTCCAAATCCCACGGGGGGGTTCCGGCCAACGCGCGCGCCACCTCCGTCGAAACGGTGCGGTAACCGCGTATGGCTCTGACCGCCATTACCCTCTGAGGGCGCCAGAGGTGTGCCCTATTCTGGGCGGTCAGAGCCGCCGCCCACACCGGTGCACCGTATAGTGCCATTGACCGGACAACCCCCGTGTACAGCCGTCTTGTCGCGACGCTGGGTCCACCCAAATTGGGCAAAAGTCGCCCTAGGGCAGACGCAGCGCCGACCAGCTTTGGAGCAAGCTGTCGGAAGTGCTCGTCGAAGAGCCACCTCCCGTCGAGGATCAGGCCCAGATACTTCATCTGGGCCCGAACCGGTACGAGGACCGAGTTGACCACAATTGAGGCGCCAGGGGGTGGACCACGACGGGGCCCATGAAATAACAGAGCCTCCGTCTTATCTAGGGCCACCCGTAAGCCCAGCGCCTCAATGCGCCCGACCACCAGGGAGACCCCTTGTGGCCAGGCGCGCCGCCTCTTGTAAGTTCCCCCCCCCCCCCGGGGCTGTAACCAGAGTATCATCTGCGTAACAAATTGCACCCAGCCCGGGGGGGAAATCGGCTCGAAGGGCCCAGTCGTACCCTATGTTCCACAAGAGGGGTCCAAGAACAGACCCCTGTGGAACACCGCACGACATGGGCCGACACCTCAAATTACCATCTCGGTCCTCGTACACGACGGTACGCTCCTCTAAATAGTCTGCCACTAGCCGCCTCAGGTACTTTGGCACCCCATGATAGTGGAGTGCTTCCCTGATGCAGCTGAATGGCAGACTATTGAATGCGTTGGCGATGTCTAATGACACCGCCAACAGCACGCCGCGACAGCTCACGGCCTCTTCGGTCACGGCCCTCAGGCGCAAAACAGCGTCGACTGTCGAACGCCCCGCCCGAAAACCAAATTGGGCGTTCGACAGATCGGGGCCCACCTCGTAGAGGTGCCGGACGATGCGGGCAGAGAGAACCCTCTCAAACAATTTACCCGCCTCGTCCAGCAGCACGATGGGCCTGTAGGCCGTGACCGAATCGGCAGGCCGTCCCGGCTTCCTTAATAGGACCAGCTTTCCGCTCTTCCAGCACTCAGGGAAACGTCCCGACGCCAAGCTAGCGTCGAACACCTCCCCGAGGCTTTCTGCCATGTGGTTGAGGGCTAGGGCCAGCACTCGGGCCGGTACCCCGTCTGGCCCAGGGGCGGTGTTCTTGGAACGGATCCGTAGAACAGCCGCCCCTACTTCCGAATCCCGGACGGGCGGAACATCATCCCCCTCGTGCTCCCCGTCGTCTCCGGCCAAGGAGGCCATCGCCGGGGGAGTGTGCTCCGCCCGCTGCGGGAAAAGGCCCTCAACCACTTCCTGCAGGAAGCTGGGCTGGAGAGTCTCCGTAAGGGGGGGGGGGGCCGACGCGCGGAGCTTTTGTCTCACCGCGCGATAAGGGCGACCCCAGGGGTCACGATCGAGACCCTCCAGCATCTCCTTTCTCTTTATCTCTTTGGCGCGGCTAATGGCCAGCTTCAGAGTTTTCCGCGCCTCTCGGTACTCCTCATGAAGCCGGTCCTCCTCACCGTCTCCACGGTGACGCCGCCGACTGCGCGTGTAGAACCTCCGGGCACGTGTACAGGCCGCACGGAGGTCCGCCAGCTTCTGGGACCACCAGTAGACCTCCTTCCTTGGAGGCCGACGACCTCGAATGCGGGGCATGGCCGCATCGCAGACATGCGTAAACCTCCTCGGTCGGAGCCTGAGGAGACAGCCACTAGTGAATTATGGCTGCCTCCTCTAGTAGATCCCGGTTCAGTCTGGCAACAGCCCTCCGCGGAAAGCGGGATAAACGCCGCGCCACGTGACCCCTACTGGAGTCCTGGGTCCGGGAGAGCTCAAATCGGATATAGAGATGATCCGAGAGCGTCTCAACCTCTTCCAGGACACGCCAGTTCCTTACTTACGGCGAGGGCAGGGGTAGCGAACGAAAGGTCCACTATCGACCCCCCTGCTGTCGCACGCACGTGTTGGTGGAGCCTCTGTTGAGAAGACAGAGGCCCACCGAGGCCGCCCACTCCTCTACGGCCTCGCCCCTTGCGTCCGTCCCGGGGGAACCCCACGCAGTGGATTTTGCGTTAAAGTCCCCCAGAACAAGGACGTGCCCAGACGCTAGTCGCCGCATCGAGGTCGAGTCAAACTCGCTCAAACTCCGGTTGGGGGAGAAATAAACACCATATATGGTGATCCCCCCCCCCCACTCGGCGGCAACATATCCAGTGCCCTTGTCTCTTAGCGACAAGGGCGGGGAATGAGCCGCCGTGGAGCCTACGACTGCCACGGAGCCGTCCCGGTTACCCATCCAGTTTGGACGGGGAGACCACACCTACCTAACTATTTAAAGATAATACTTTAACTCTACCTTGAACTAAAGTACTTTAACCCTTAAGCAAACGTGAACCTGTATGCTTTTTTTTTAAAGTTGCTGAGGATTCACCTGGATTTGGGGTTATACATTTTATATTTGTTTTCAAAATTTAATGAAATAAAGTCTTTCTGCTGGTAAATAATTTACCATTATCCATGCACGACTATAAAATTTTGCATGTGGGTGGTAAAATAGTGACCATTGTCCGCTCCGGCTTCTTTTTAGTTTTTTTACTAGTGATTTCATTTAACTTGGTTTATTCCTCTTATTTAACCTTTTTGGAATGACATAAAAATATATGCATGTTACTATCGATATACGAATTCACGCTTTACATATCGATATATAATAAATATGACTACCTGCGTCACTACTAGTAGGTAGTGTAAACTGAGGGTGTGGTGAGTCAGAAAGGTTTCTGTTTCTACATATTTATTTAGCTACAAGCAGATAAAACAGAAAAACAATCGATTTTAAATACATAATCTGATATTTATCAAAGCGTGAACGAACAGTGGCAAATTATTTACCACTTATTTGCTGCTGACAAGTGAGCCTAGATGAAAAAAATATATAAAAAATATATATTTAAAATATAAAAAATATTATCCCATCGCTATCAGGAACAGGGACCCAAATAACGGTGGGAACTTTTTCGGTATATATTATTATTATTTTGTTTAAGTTTCCAGTTACTATCCTCAAAGTCATTTAGTATTATAATTTTCAATTAAGATTAAACTTTGAAAACTAGCAAGACTAAGCAAAGTAGCTCCTCTTCTCCCCTAATAGTGCTGTGCCCGACAGGGTCCATAATTGTTACCTCTTTTAAGCCTACCACCGTACATCATGGAATGTAGTAAATTGAATTGAAACTTCTAAGGGTCTAAGATTTTCAAAACTGACAATAGTGGATTGGCCAAACAACTATATAATTCGGATATTTATCAGATTAATGCAACATGCACTAAAAGAGCCAAATAACTAATAATAATAATAATCACTTCACACATCTTACACACGGCAGTCTGGTCCCAAACTAGGCAGTTGCCAACTGAATTAGTAACCTTAACAGTTACGACGTATGATACCAACGAATATCAGCGACTTCAGTTTCAAAAAGAAAGAATTGATTTCGAAATTCTTGGTATCTTAAGTATCGATATCTTAGAAGAATCGATTCTTTTTCCGTATCCTACTCTACCCTAACCCTACCCAAATTAGACAGATTTTTGACTTTTCAGGTTGTTTTACTGTTTGACTTTGTTTTATTGGAAGTAAACAAGGTGTAAACAATAATAGGAAATTCCGCATTATTCCACTTAACTATTCACAATGGCTCAAAGGGAACGTCGTAACAATGCGGGAAACCGCATGGCAAAATTGCTAGATGATGAAGAGGAAGATGATTTCTACAAAACAACTTACGGAGGCTTTCAAGAAACTGAAGAAGATAATGATTATGTGTACGTTTTAAAAGGAACTTGTTCATATTAGTTACGAAAAATTTAAAAGATAAACTTAAAACTAGTGATTATTTTGAGATATTCCAGATAGGTTGATTCATAATTTTGATGTTAAGTGGTTTTGATTGTAGTAACTTTGTTATTATCACAAAGCTTTTCATCTACATAGGTACGCAAGAACGTTTTAGCGGCTAATAAAAACATTTGTAATCATAACGTTTGTAGTTGATAGAAGAAAGTAAAACTTAAACACTAAACATATTTCTTGCAACAGTGTGTTTAAAATTAGATTTATGACACAAATAAAACCTTCATATATTCACCTGTATTAGAACCCTACAGGTTGTCCCTCAGTACTGAGTACCATTATTGAATTTTAAATCAGCAAATTCTACAGCATGCTACCTAACATAACTTAATATTAGACAAATATTATAATATTAATAATAATTTACTGCCTTTACAGTGTTAGTTCGTTTTACATAGATGAGTCGTAGGAGTTCCCTTTTCAGCAAGAAATGACTGTATTAGGACACTGCTCTATCTGTGATCTTTTAAATTTGCAATAAATGTATTGTATTTTCGTTTTAGGCAGGAGAGAGAGACCGAAGATGTTGTGGATTCGGACTTTGACATTGATGAGAATGATGAACCCGTATCTGATCAAGAAACTGATGAGAAAAGGACACGAAAAAGTGGCACAAAAGTTTACAAGGTGGGTATTGTCTGAATTCCCAATATTGGAAGCTTTGAGATATTATTCTATAGTGTAACAAAATCACTTTAAATACATACACTTATACTAATGACGGGCTGAGCACCGCTCAGCCCTTCATTGGTATAAGTCTAGTGTTCAGACACACTGTCTGTGTCAACAAAAACAAATGTAAATTGTGTAATGAACATTTGTTCAGTTCAGTTACCATAGCTTATCTTTTAATCATATAAGTATTATCTATTTGCCTTTCCTTTAATATCTTATTCTCAATCATTATGGTTTAGATCTTTAATTAACACATTTAAACCCAGTCTTGTGCTATTTTATTTTAATATCAATTGCACTAGGAATATAGCCTGTGGCGCGATGAGGATTTTACAGACATTATACAACAAACATAATAAACACCTAGACTTGGAACGATAATTTGTGTTGTTTCACGTGGGGATTAAACCCACAACACTTAGTGTCGTAGGAAGAGTGAGGTGATTGCTTAAACCACTGTGTCAACCAAGCAGTCTCATTAAATATTTCCATCCATTTTACTTGTACTGTGAAATGATATGAAAAGAAATAATAAAATCTGTACTGCATGAATGATTTGAAAGGAAGTTGTTTAACTATACAATCTTTTGTCTTTTATAGGATCCTAATAGAAAACTAAAAAGAGGCGATAAGCCAACTACATCCACAATAGAAAGAGTAAAGAAACTTGCTGAAAGAGAAAAGAAACCAAAAGAACCAAAGCCTGAGAAAGAAAAGACTGAGAAAGTTGAAAAGATACTTACACTTGACACTTCTATAGGTAAGATTTACCTCTTTGTAAAAGCATACCAGCATTTAGTCTAATGAGGGCTGTGACATATGCAGTATAACGTAAACACATGCAGGCCACATGGCAATAATAATGCAAAAGTATTTGTTATGGTATACAAATACACAGATAACCTGACATTGTAAAGTGTAATACTAAAATTATTTGATAGTTTATTTGGGACTAATATCCACATGTTTTTTTAACACAATTGAACTATAAATAGACCGTGGAGATTTCGCTTACACAGGCATATAGTAGCTTTTAATTCAAAAGACATATTTCTTAGCCTTCTATGGATTCACTATCCTGGTGCCGTGCTCATCGCGTGATAGAGGGGGGCAACATATGCGACTGCCCCTGGGATTTGTGACCCCGGAGTAAGTTTAGGGAGTACTCCTTGCGACGCGTCAGTGCTCACCTCCACTTTTTGCTGTGTTGCCCCTCTACCTAACCATATTTGATATGAACCTAACAATTCGGTTTTGGATAATTTGTCAAGAAAAGAGCTTACTGAAGCTCTTGGTAATTCAAGGTATTTAAGCAGATTATAGAGGAATTTAGCTATACCACTCGCACCCACTTCCATGTCATAATGCAAAAAACCAATGTTGTAACCAAGGAAATAACCAGAAATGGCTATTTTTTACATAATCACAATTTTAAATAAGTCAAAGTACTTATTGCTTATAAAAATGCGAATTGCCTGAATGCTAATTAGGAGGTATCTTTATATCACCATCATTATGTTTCTTCACATCACATTCATATACTGCCTTTGCACTTTCACTATCTTCAGTACCACTTTGTGTGATTGTTTACAGACAGAAGTAATTCTTATAGACATAAGCAAAGTCACCTTAAAAGCATTATTCCCAGATATATAATGTTAGTGTCTACTTACTGGATTGCATAAAATAAAATAACTTTTATGCTTATCTTAAACTTTAATTTATACTTAAACAGAGCGTAAATCCATTAGACAAAGTACAGCCGTGAAGTCTGCAGAAACACAGCAGAGAATCAAGATTAGATCTGAACTAAAAAAGAAGAAACCGAAAAAGGTAGAAGATAAAATGCCAACACAAGAGGAATTGTTGGAGGAAGCACTTATCACAGAGAAAGAGAATCTAAAAAGCTTAGGTAACTCTACATGTTATTATGAATATCCTAATTTTTAGTTACCTCAATAAGTTTTCCAATGCTTGAGTTGCTACTAGTTAGCCAGTAATAAGAGCTAGATTTGCAAAATCTTTCCATGATTCAATTGTCAACAATTGTGTTTTCCATTCTAATATCACCTTTATGTAAGAAAGTTACAGTCTGAACAGTGCTTTACTCTCAGAACCCTCAGGATCAAATTCAAAACATATGTTTCTTCTTTCAGAAAGATTTGAACAAATTGAATTGGAGAGGAAAAAAATACGACCTACAAAGAAAACAATTACTGGTCCCGTAATAAGGTAGTATAGCTTTATTTTTATAATGCTACCAGATATATGCAGTAGTGATGTAATAATTAGTCTTCACACTCACATTTAATTGTGAATTCTTAATTAGCAGTTGGCAATTTAATTGTAGTTGTGCAATTTCGTGAACCTATGAATTAATATGTACACATCACACTCTTCAAAACTTAAATTATCTATCCCTACTCTATAATTAAGCTTTTTATTAACAAATACTATATAGGTACCAATTCAATGAACAACTTTAAACAAAGAAATTTTTACTTAATAAAACTTAAGTGGTTACTGGAGGCCCAACCATTCATAAAAAAACTCCAGCAGATATGCTAGTTAGAAGTATGTATAACTAATATTAATAACTTTATTGCCAGAAAAATGTTTACAAGATTGTTGTTCACATGCACGGACTAGGAAATTGTAGGACAATAGAACTACGAACAGCATCCATCACTATGTTGTATGTAAGCATACAGCATCTATTAGTTCTAATCTTATAGTCCGGTCAAGTTACCCCGAAAAATAAAGTTTGCTTGCTTAAACTCCCAAGATGCTGAATTTTTGCTTGAACTTTATTGATACCATTATAATGAAATTGTGAAAAGTCCCCATCAATCCCATGTGTGCAAAAAAAATATGCAGGGTTAAGTTTCTTGGGCATTTATCATGATTTATGCATCGGTGAATGTCTATTTTGACTGGACTATTATTTGACATGCTACATGTGAAGGGAGCATGTTATGATTTTACTCATTATTGTATTGCATCAAGGTATCATTCGTTTGCGGTGCCGCTTATCGAAGAAATACCAACAGTAGACGAAAAAGCCAGTTTGACACCATTGGGTGATCTTAACTTAAGCGATATCATCAAGAATGAGGAAGGTAATTATGATTTAAATATATTCAACCATTAAAGAGCAATTATGAAGATATTAACACAATTAGGTTACTGTAGCTTTTAGTTAGTTAGCTTAATCGTGCTTGCATATATTATACTCCGAATAAACATAATGGTAGATATCAGCCGCTGATGGGGCCGCCGGCTGCCAGAGAGTGGTGACCACTGGTGATGGATTAGGGGAACTGCGGTAGGGTGGCGGCCGGATTGCATTAAGACGCCATCGGGCCGCCATATCGTTATTGGAGTAATTGAATTGACAAAGTCTGCGGCTTCCCCCGGGATAAGGCCTGGTAAGGCAGGGTGTCCATTCCTGAAGGACCTGAAATCACATTGCCCGGGTTCTTCCCAAAATAGGCTATGCTGTCTCTGGGCTTTTGAGTGGAAACACCACATACTCCTGGCTCCTGCGTCCCCAAGGAGCCGGAGATGCGAAGGGAATTACCACTGCTTCACCAAAAGTTCTATACTAAACTAGTGTTAATAATAATTGCCAATATAGAAATGTTCGCAGGTTTGTTTACACCAACCGAATTCGAGTTGCCGGAACTAAAAAATGAGATGATAGATCAGACGATGGACAAATTGGAGCCTGATATGAAAATGGATGTTGACGTGATCGGTCCTGATGAGGAAGTTAATATTGAAGATGTGACAGCGTAAGTTTGGCATTGTGAAATAGTTTTTAATAATCTCATCTATATTTATTTATTTATTTATTTTCTTTAAAAACAACTATTTTTACAGGCTTAGCCCAATGCAATAGTGTTATACCACCTACTTATTTATTATAAGAAATAATTCTTAATGCTGTTATTGTGAATTCACTCAGTGAGCAATAAAATAAATCTACTTCGTCCGCAATTATATTCAGAGTACGTAGTGCGCAGTATATATTAATGTATGAAGAAAATTGTTAGTACCCTTTTTTAAATGAATATGGCGCATAGAAGTATCATCATCATTTGCAATACTTAAAAAATGGCAGCCTTCTATCAGAATTAAACCCAAAAAACAGAATTAAACCCAAAAAAATACTTATTACGAAATAAAATTACTATAATCTTCAGTATTTAAACATTAAATTAAAACAGTTTAATTGAAAACATTTCTGCTTATTATAGAAGTCTGCCACTTTTGAGATATAATATAATCGAATATTTTATCGTTTAATAAAAATAGTTTTATTTGGATCACTTCGCAATTTTTCCAAAGGTTTGTGTACGCTTCAAAAAACTCGAAAACTTCTGTACCGATTATGCTCAAATTTTGACACAATATACAACACACTTTAAAAATGGCAGTATTGTTTGTTAGTAGTTATTAAAAAGCGAAACAAACAATATGTTTTCAAGTGTTAAGTTTACTTACTTTTATTATAAAATGTCATCGTTATTCATTTATAGAATTCAATGAATCAATTGTAGAATAATTAACAGTTTAAATATATTTTTTCTGAAAACATTTTCAGTAAAGAAGAGAAATCAAGTAAAAAGACGGATCAAAATGTAAGATTTCATGAACGCACGCTTCTATCTTTCGAGAATGATATAAAGGATAAAGCGTTCAATGCCTGCTTCCCGAAGTCACAACCGAAAAAACGAAGACAGCTATTGTGCGCTGTTACAAAGTAAGTTAAATGATTATGTATGTAAGTATTTATCATTGTACTTATTTGCTCTATTTTGCACATAATACTCTCATACTGATCCAAAATATTAATATTAAAAAGGATATCAGTCTTAGATTTGCTTCACAGGGTCCAATTATTCATTTGCATTGTTCACACATAGTTGTTGTTGGATATGATGCCATACAGATTAGTAGTAGTAGTAATAATTTGTAGAACTTAACATTATCTTCATTATCATTTCCTGTCCTGTACCAATGTAACTTTTTGAGACTGGATGTGTAGGACGCAGGTAATCAAAAATTACAGTGTGGTGGCTCGAGTAAGGGATACGGTAAGTAGAGAGACTGCAGTATCTCGAAGGATCGTGTACCCGTATGTCCGTCCACTCACACACACACACACACTTAAAGCGCTATGAGGGTATTGACATCAAAATTGACCAATATTCACAGAAGTTAGTAAATGACTAAGTATAATAATTTTGATTGTTAATATTCGCAGACGGCCAGCGCGCTACATAGACCCTATAACGAAGTTGCCGTACCGCAGCGTGGACGCGTTCCGGATCATCCGCGAGGCGTACTACCAGCAGCTCGAGGCGCGCGCCGACCGCAGCGAGCCGCAGCTCGCCGCGTGGCTGCGCTGGCGCAAGGCCGACGCCGCCTCCACCTACGTGCAGATACACATCAAGTAGCAGCCACAACCTACCTAAGCGATTTGACTGACTCAACTGTAGAAAGCCAACGAGCTTTAGGGATGGTATAAAATCACATCACCTGTGATAAATAATATGATTTAACCAAACAAGAAATACACTATATTAACGAATGTCAATGCAATCAGATCGCTTGATTTATGTAGGTATATAAAATTATTATTAATACTAAAAAGGATATCAGTCTGTTGGATTTGCTTCACAGGGTTCAATTGTTCATTTGCATTGTTCTAACATAGGTGTTGTTTGATATGATGACATACTTATTACATCTGCATATTAGTAGTAGTAATAATTTGTAGAACTTAACATATTTTCATTATCATTTCCTGTCCTGTAATACTGTAACTTTTGAGACGGATGTGCAGGACGCAGGTTAAATGGGGTAGAGTAAGGGATACGGTAAGTAGAGAGACTGCAGTATCTCGAAGGATCGTGTACCCGTATGTCCGTCCACTCACACACACACACACACTTAAAGCGCTATGAGGGTATTGACATCAAAATTGACCAATATTCACAGAAGTTAGTAAATGACTAAGTATAATAATTTTGATTGTTAATATTCGCAGACGGCCAGCGCGCTACATAGACCCTATAACGAAGTTGCCGTACCGCAGCGTGGACGCGTTCCGGATCATCCGCGAGGCGTACTACCAGCAGCTCGAGGCGCGCGCCGACCGCAGCGAGCCGCAGCTCGCCGCGTGGCTGCGCTGGCGCAAGGCCGACGCCGCCTCCACCTACGTGCAGATACACATCAAGTAGCAGCCACAACCTACCTAAGCGATTTGACTGACTCAACTGTAGAAAGCCAACGAGCTTTAGGGATGGTATAAAATCACATCACCTGTGATAAATAATATGATTTAAAGATACATAATCATATAATCACACCCGTGACTAATTTCCATAACCACTGCGACTATGATTACGCTAGCTCGAAAGGTCGAAATCCAAAGAAAATTTTTTTTTTTTTTTTTCCAAAGAAAAAAAGAAAATTCCAACAATTATGAAGGCGTTTATCTTTGTCTATGACCGAACCACTGTAGTGATTTATCACAAATGAAATCGCAAAGACTAAAATCATTGATTGCATGGTATGGTTATGATTTAAAAGTAGCAATAATTTCGATCACTGGCTTACAGTAGTCGCATATGTTTGACATCTCACCTACTATCTGACGGCCGCCTTTAGCATCGCGCTCGCTCATTGGTCAATTCGAATAGCGCGGCCTTCCCTGACTTCCTCTAATACACCTCCGTCCCCTTTCTCGAAATCGCTTCTATAGCGAGCGGAAAATGTACACATGGATGAAAAATCTTTTACCATATCCATTATCTACATTAATTTAATACATTAATGTTCAACTTTTATAAAAATGAATTGTTAGAATGTAACACGTTGGACACCATTGTCTCATATATGTGTTTATGTCATAAAAGTGTGATAAACAAAACCTCGACATAAATACTTGAACCAATATATCTGTAAAGAATAATTAAGACATTATTTATTTAAACTGTATTAATACATAAACAATATTCTGTTCAGTTTTCGTCTCTTCTGTCAGATATACATAATTATGTGCCTGTGGTATTAACAAGGTATAGTTATCTGTAGTTATGGATAAATGTATAGTTTTGGATAGAAAAATATCAGTCTAGCCTGTAAACTGAAATGTAGTAATTGTTGTTATGTATGTAACTGAAAAATGCAAAAAAAATATACAGAATTTAATGACAAATCGCGTTATGTCCAATAAATTGCAGTACAAGGTCAGGTTTACTGTGCAGTGTGTGTGTATTTGTTTGCCGCAAGTAGAAGAGAAATGTGTTATGTATTACAAATAGGAAATATGAAGTGTAATTGTAAAATAAAACCTAAGCGAGATGTTATTGTATTTATTTCAATACCCATTTGTCGATTTAAATCATGATAATGATTTAAATGAATAAAAATAAATGATACACGAAATTAAATACATAGTCAATTTATTAAACATAAAATAAATAATTACAATAGTCTTAAAACTTAAGAATTAGATTCAATAACTGTACAAAATTGTACAAAAGTAATATGACAAGAAAATACGATGTGTCTTGATTTTAGTAACAATTTCCTTAATTCGCTTACCTACTATGTTTCGCTCATTGTAATTCAAAATTACTTAAAACATATTAAGAACTTATTTTATGTAACTGCTCAAGTAGCTATTACTATAAAATCATTCGATATATATATATATAGAATTCTACCGGCATATTGTGTCAAACATATAAAAAAAAAACTTAATCAGCTATCTATAACTTACAATTTTTTATTCGATAAATATGTAGGTAATGTCTATAAGTCCTAGAGCCTACAACAATTTGAGTATTAACTAACTTAAGGTACTAGCAAATACTGGAATCACTAAAATTATGTCCATTTTAGTTTACAATGAATTGTAGACAGCATTTCGCAACTATTTTAGTAACTAATTAGTAAAGGGCAACTGTTTACTAAATGATTTGATTCTAAATTTATAATTCCTAATAAAATGCTACTCGATGGACAAAACAATATAACATTACACAATTTTCATTTCTGTTAAATGTCAAAGTACTTGCTAGTTCGGTTTTAGATTCCGTTTTGCTTTTAAACTATTTTAGTATTTTTTATTAAAAAACTCAAAGAAAGTCTAGAGGTTCGCTGTAAAGCTAGGATTTAATCTTAAATCGGGAACACTATTTCTTCTCGGCATTTTCTCTTTCAACTCTTTTAACGAGATCAAACCCGAAGCTTTGACGTCTACCCTTGAATGATACTTCGATGGGTCAGTCGTTGGTAAGTACGGGTAGTCTTTCAAGTAAGTCTGTGCATTATTCATTATGTGTTCACCTGCAAAGTCTATAAATTGCGAGTCCAAAAGTTCAAAACTGCTCAGTGTGGTGTCAGCGATATTTTCCATCGACCTGAACGCTTCCAGAACTGCTTTCTTATGTGGTATACCTCGCAAACTACCTTGTCGACTCAGTTTACCTTCGGTGACGTCAGTGAACAAGTCATCCACATTGAATTTCTCTGAAATCTTTACGAGTCTCGTGTTTGATCTCTCTTCACTAGCACATCTTATTTGATTTTCCTTTAGTTGGTTCCATCCTTTTGCTATTTCGGATGACGGCAATGAATGAGATTTGATATTTTTTTTCACTCTTTTCTGAGGCCGTTTATTTGTTTGTTCTTCTTCGAGAGATTCTGTTGATTCTTTACGCAGGAGTAATTCGCATTCGTTTAATTTTCGAGGCTTTTTAACATCAGTAAGCTCTTCCAAAGATTGAAAAAATTTCTTTGCCAATTTGAATCGGTTTTTGTATTCTATGTGCTCTACTTTTTTCTCGGGAGTCGATTCGATAGACAGCTTATCTGGACCGCTTTCTATAATTTCTAGTTCGATATCAGAGAGGCTCAAATACGTTGTTTCTTTATTATCTTTCGTAAAGTTTTCGACATCATAGGAGTCAGACGTTTTAGTATCTAAGCTAAGATTGCTAACTGTTTCTGAAGTTTTACTTTTCCACAGATTTGTTGGAGTTACTCGAGGAGTTGTATATTTCGATTCATTGTTTGATATACTTACTTGCTCGGCTGAGAATGTGTACATAGATACAGCATCTGTAAAGATATTTAAATTTTTAGTGTCAATATATATCTAAATACCTAAATAGCCTTTAGACATTATTTCGTACATACTTGAAGTTGTGCTTGAAGTGCTGTCGGATTGCGTTTTCTGTGAATCTGCGGAGCTTGTTCTGAAAACCCGTTTTGCTGGTTTTGGCTTTTCAGTAGTTTTGGAGACATTTTCATAAAGTGATATAAAGCTTTTCACATTTATCTTAGGTAATTCATCATATGATTTGTATTTATCTAAAGCATCTCCTGTATCAGTTGCAACCTTATTGAAAATGTCCATTTCTGATTTGCTAAATGATTTCTTTTGCAGAATGTCAAGCTTTGGCATTGTGGATTGATCTCTTAAAATTCCATCTTTGTTAGTTCTTTTAACATATTCTTTTTGAATCTGTCTGTTTATTTGCTGCAATGGTTTTTCGCATATCGTTTCATCTAACGTCTTATGATATGCATTTTGCATCATTTTTGACCTTTTTGTTTTTAAATCGGTGGCTTCAGTAACATTTGTATTGATTGCTTCTGTTTTTGTATCATTTACCGCCGGATATTTGTTTGGTAAATCTTTTCTTTCATACACTTCGGTTTCCTCTACACTCTGACTATAGTCCATGAAAGTCATTTTTTTCTCACCCTCCCTTCTTTGAGATATATTTTGTAATGATTGACATTTTTTCCTAGACCACGGTAATTCTTCAGTATTAGATATGTTGTGAAATAAAGATATGCGACTAGATACTAAACCACTCTCATGACACATGGCGATATCCGTAGTTGAAGAATTGATCTCTGTTGGTTTACCCAAAAATGTATCAATTTTATTCATTATTTGCTTTCTCGATGTACCGAAAAATCTCTTAGGACTAGTTTCAAAGGCTTTAAAGATTTCTTCCGGTAGTTCTTGTTTATTAGCAATTTTTTTATTATCTTCATTATAATCTTTAGTGTCATGGATTTTGACTTTGGCTATTGTTTGATTTTCTATCTGATTGCTCATTAAAATTTGGGATGGCACATTCTTTTTTGGAGATTTTATCTTGAGCGCTTCTGCCTCAGCCTGGATTTGATCACTTTCTAATTTTTCATCCCAAAATTTCTTCCACTTTTTAACTATTGTTATATCACTATTCACGGAATCCTTTCTATCATTTTGACTGTCTTCAAGTTCTAGTCTTTTGTATGACGGCGATTTATCCATTTCTTGATTGACATCTTTTACTTGACTATAGTCACCGGTGCTTAAGAAATTTTTAACCATCTGTTTGCCCTTCCGCTTACTTAGTGAATCATGTTTTAATTGTTTAGAAGAATTACGTCGTTTCTTGGGAATTATTGTAGATATTTGTGATTTAGCTTCAATTTCCCTAATTCTCTCATCCCAATATTTCTTCTTTTCGAGAACTATGCTATTGCAGTGGTTTTCTCCAAATTGTGTTTCAATTTTATTTTTGTTTTCGTACTTCAAGTGGTCATTATGAAGGGTCTGACTTACTGAAACAGATTCAGTAGCATTTGCCTGAACCTCAGAAATCGTTCCTTCTATTTCTTCATTGTGTCTTTTCACATCTAATATTTCAGACGCAGAATTGACACTGATGTCTTTGGTTTGTGTTATATATTCAACTTCCATACTATGAAGCTTATTATCTTCATCAGTAACGGGAGAATTTATTGTTTCGGAATTAGGAAAGTACTCCTGGTACATATCATTTAGTTCAGCAAATGCCACTGAAACAGTATCAGTTTCTCTTGGTTTCGTTGTTATTTCATATTTGGATACATCTTTACTTCCTGATGATATGTTTCGATCGCTTTCTTCAATGATAGGTGTACACGTTGGCCGCTTTATTTCCCACTTATACTGTCGCACATCTTCCTGTACTTTACTTAAATCACATTTTAAATCATTACACGTTTGCCAAATTTCTCTTTCAGCTGGGCCCATATTTGGTATTTCCTCCTGTTTCAACTCTATAATCTCGTCACTATTCGGAAATTTCTGTTTACCAAATGTTTCATATAGGATTGTATTTTCGTTATTGTTATTATCTGGAGAACTATTGGTATCATCAATACTTACATATGCCGAATCCCAAATATCTTTCCTAGGTGTTATATTTCTGTCAGAATCACTTTGATCAGGTTCGAATTGACTGTCGCTCGTAGTTGATGCATTAGAATTGTCTATAGTTTCTGATAAACTGAAGTCTAAACTATGAAAAGTGGATGATATAACAGAGTTACCTTTCTTATTATCTGTAGGTGTGGTCGGGTTGTTATGCAAAGGGGTTAAATATACTGATTCGTGCTTAGGATATTTTTTGCTGCTTTCGCGACTTACTGTATTTTCATTATCTGACTCTGTCATTATTAAGGCTTTCATTTCAGGCTCTGGAGAAGCAGCCCTAATTATAGGTGGCAAAGAGACAGGTGCACCTATGATGAAATCAGCCGTAGGTGCATGATCAAAATGTCTACTTTCGAATTGGTTCATAAAGAAGGGATTAACAAATTCATTGCCGAGTTCTTCCTCAGGAATTAATTCAACTTTTGGATCTATAAAAACAGACTCATCTCGATTTACTTTTTCGCCACTTATTATTTTGAAAACTGGTGTCTTTGGCCTTTCAAAATCTAGCATATTCGACTCTATAAAAGGATTATTATTGACTGGTGATGGTGATACAGCCTTAACTGGTGACTGAGTTACGTTAGAATCTATTATAATTGTAATTGAGCTGTCTCGAGTTTCTTCGTTTTGGGAATTATTAGTTTCATATTCGGAAGCTACAAATGTACCAAAATTGTTTGCCGCCACATAATTTTCTTCAAACATTTCACTTAAAAACGGGTTGTTTGCAGTAATTAGTGGCACGCCACGATCAGAAATATTGTCATCGAGTTGGTCAGGCGCAGCATTTTTTATTTCTATGCTATCTGGTGTATTAACTCTACTCATTTCCACTGGATTGTCTACTAATATATTGCCATCATCACTTGCATTCTCTACCATATCGGCGTAACAAGATTTGGATACTTCTGCTTTTAGAGAAACTGACAAACTTTGCGGCACAATAATTTTTTCTTGGCTCCCGGGCATTACGTATGGGCAAGCGTTTGTTTCCGTTAAAGTTGAATTAACAATATCAGGAATATCTTGTTGAGTTCTTGGAAAAGTGGCGGTTTCTATTCTTTCGTTTCTTATATTCATTTGTTTTTCTTTAATGAGATTATTGAATACTTTACATACTTTCCCCAAGATAAGGATTTTATAAGAAGCTTTTTTAAATCTCTGATGTTTTGGTGACTTTTCACATTTAGTATTGAGCGTTTCATCACCAAGGTCCCTTTCAAAATTTTGGATCCCTTTACCTTTATCGATCATCATTAAACGTTTAGCTTCGTCGTCGCTAATCTTTTCCAAAGTTCCGTTTTCGTTTAGTAACATTTTCTCAGTGACAAAATCGACAATTCTAAGTACTACTTTCCTATCAGTATGAACATCGACAATATCAATTTCTTCTCCGTCTTCTAAATAAAAACTATCTTTTTCCAAAACCTGGATTATGTTATTTGAAGCTGTTACAGAAAATGGCGATCCCAGTATACTGTGACCTCTACTCGTAATTGACACTAGATAATTTCCTTCAAGTTTTACCGTATAACTTATTTTTGCGTGATCTGATTTTCTATCCACGTCTATTTCAATATCATACTGTGATTTAGGTATATAGTATGTTTTATTCATATCATTCTTTCCAAAATTTCGCAGATAAGTGGCACCTTGTGTTATTGGTAAAACATTTTCTGTATAGCTTTGTTTTAAATGTAAACCTAGGAGTTTGTGGCGGATCAACTGTGCTTTACCAAAAATTGGCGGCAATACTGTCATGCCATACGTATCCTTTGGTCCTCTGATTAATATGGTAACATCTCCAGGGTCTAAACATTGTTGTGCAGTAGGATAAATCTTAAAATGTGCTTTATTATTTATTTGAACAGCTGAAAGTCCAGAGCCCTTAGCAGCGTAATCAAGAATGAATTGATTGGTTTCTGGGGAGGTTCTCTGTGGAACTGGTTTAGAAACGGGAGGAGTTATCTTCGATAAAGCCTGACGGATTCGATCCAAATACGCAGCAAGTTTCCACTCTTGGTGTCTGCTTAACGAGTCATTTGATTCAAGCTCTTGATGGGAGAAGACCTGAAAAAAAAAAAGGAACTTAAGAGTTGGGTTGGAGAATGTTTTTCTGAACCGTCTTGCTAGATTTAATACATCGAAACTGTACACCTAGCATTGATTGAAAATATCAAAGATTAATTTAAAAATAACTTCTATATTACTATTAAGTGAGTGTATATAATACAACCTTAATCCCTTAGTTTTAGTACAAATAAATGTTTTGATTCTACGCCGAGAAATCCTTAGGGGTTTATAAAGACCTACACATATATACCACTATACTTGTAAGTGTTCTTAGACCACAATAACTATGATGATATGATATTACTATGATGCGTTAATGACAAATAATTGTCTACGAATAAAATGGTAATTAAAAGTAAATAAACGGTAAGTCTTTATGGTGGTACAGACCATATATATAGTAGGCGTATGCGTGGTTATCACCACGGTTGTGTAGAATTATAATAGTAGTTAATACGATGATGTGATGTGTGATGGAAAAAATACAATGATTTAAAAAAAACTTTTATTTCTTTTATGAAAGCAATGCAATGTACAAATACAAATGTTTTAACAGTATGGTAATGAATACGTAGGTAGTTCACAAGTCTTAGATGAGACAAAGAATTAATCAATGAACATCGTACGAAATTTGAAGATGCGTGTTGTGTCGTGAAGGAGTTCTGAGTCAAGAGTGGCGGTGGTATTCATTGGACATTATAAATATGCTTACTTAGAGTAATTGAATAGTTATACATATACATAAATACGATAGAATTCACCGTTGTAAGTTTATACGCGATATAAATGTTTACGATAAATGAAGTTGACTACTGACTGGTTCTACACCAAGGTAGTGGTCAGCGATGGTCTGGGCGTGCTTGAGGGAGAGCGTGGTGGGCGGGTGGCCGGCGCACGCGCCGGGCAGCGCGGCGTCGATCGCGCCGCACAGCACCCAGCCGTGCCGCCAAACCGTGTCCAGGTGCTCCACTTTCACAGGGCCTGCTTCCGCCAGCCATTGCAACGACGCTTGCTTCTGTTCCTCGCTCGAGAATACGACTGCAATTTGTAAAGACGACGTTAATAATACGGCTATTTCTTAATTATTTTCCGGAAAACTTTAAAATTATTTAGAGCATAGGTAATGATCTGACTGAGATATCGGTTTTCATGAATAACAAGAAAACAAAAGATGAAGAAGAAAGAAAACACACTAGATATGATATCACTAAAAACAGCACTGTATTTAATACAAACCACAGATGCAACTCAAACTCCGCGCCAACATGGAAAACAGTTGTGTCAATCTAACAACAACAAAAAAAACAAAAATTTGAATTTGGAACCATAAACAAATCATCCATTCCCGATACTTTTGTACTTGACTGAATGTATATTGTTGTTTCATAAATTAAGGTAACTAGTTAATTGCTTTTAAACACCACCAGTTACTACTTACACTACCACGCAGTAAGCCATAAATAGGCAGACGGAAATACGATAGCTACAACCGGTCTGACTATTAAAACTGTAATTTTAACACAATTATTGCTATAAGACCTTGTTAAAAACCTCCGTGGTGACTGAAAAATAGCCACCGTAAATATCAGTTGTCCATATTGACCGAGCTGTCTGTGACGCTGCTTCTTCTTCGCTTAATCCTTAACGGCGAAACTTTAGGGCCAAAACTCGTCTTACTTTCTTCTCGGTATACATATATTTATCAACATAGGATGCAGAGGCGTTGCATATTGACGAGGTTCCAGTTATAATAATATGCAAAATTAATAAATAAAAATGTTGCCGACGAGAAGACTCAACATTGTTTTTACGTCGGTTAAACTCCACTAAAAGACAAGTTGACAAAAGTATCCGTATGTAGTGTCCTAGTGTGAATTTGTACGTTGTGGTGTGCGGTCGGTATTCTTTCATCTCATTTAGATACATGCATATTTGCCGTCAAGGATAAAGACCCAGTCAGAAAGCCGGCAGGGTGGAATGAAAAACGGTGAAAGGCCGCAAGTTTTGTGACACAACCTTTTAAACTAGAGTTCCAGTTCCAACCAGAGTTCATTCAAATTCAAGTCATTTTTTTTTATAAAGGTTAAAATCATTTTTTTTTTTTGATGACACTCCATCACTCGTTAATACGAGTAGATATGAAACAAAACAAAATTAGGAAATCGGTTGACAAACAGAGGAGAAATAAATATTGAATTGTTTCGTCTTTGCTAACTTCAATGCAGATATATGGAAATAGGCATCTGTAAATAACTCTACTAGGTAGGTAATCAAATTGATTCGAGCAGTAATGGACCTTTCAAATATATAGCAAAATATCACAACACATCTAAATTAACGTAGTACCTACGTAACTTAATAACGAGATATCTGTATTGCATATCACTGTAATTCTACATAATAAAGGAACAACTAATATGACGAAATGATTACATACCCGGAGGAAAAACGACACAACCACCTAATCCTTTCATTAATGACACCAACTGAGATAATATACCAATCAAGCACAACTTTCCACCACGTAAGGCGCAGTACTGAATGAATTCGTTACATTTTAATACGCGAAAGTTCGCCTTTAACACTCACGTAGAGTCTACAAAAATTGGTCGTTAAGTAAGTGAAATTAGCTTTGAAACAATTTTATGCATGTGAGATAAACATCGTGGCAAAGGTTAACTGTTGTGCTTGTGAAGTTGTGGTAAAAGTTTATAAGGCAGGGTGTGCACTAAACAAGTAATTTTAATGAAGTGGGATAAGTAGGTGGAAAATAGACTTCCGATGTTTGAGGCTAAACGTGAGTATAGAAGGGAGATAAGTTCTTCTTTGTCTGATTTGAAGGCTTTTAATAAAGATAAAAAAATAACCGGACCAGGATTGATACAAAAAGAGAACTCAAGAATTTAGAATGATTCTTGTATCGAGGTCGGTTTAGAGAAAACCCATGAACCACCTCTGTTTGAAGCTAATTACCATTCCTCAGTTTCAGTTAAAAAATACGATAATCTAGTCTACTACCACAGGCCTGAACTTCGATATTTTTAGTGGAGCGACTGCCTGGGTTGTGGAGCGACTGTCTGATGCTTTCACAATCCAAGTACTAGGTAATATCGAAGTTCTGGAAATAGACTGTTGTTGGACTTTTTAGGACTCCAGCTACCAGTAATGATTGCCAGGTCTTTGTCGAGATACGGAAGGGTCTCAATGTATAAGAATAGTTACCCTTGAATAGACTGACTTGACGAAGATTGTTTAAATTTGCAATATGCTAACCTACCCGGTTACCACTTAGTCACGAGCCCCAAAACAATAAATGATGTCATCGTTCTATTAATTAGACAAAGAAAAAACAAAAAACTTCTTTGTTGTTTTGGGTTATACTACTAATTAAACGATACTTAGCTAAATAGCGGTTAAATTGCTCATTCAATGTCATACCGAGTTTACGTTTGTTTCACGTGACTAAATACTGCCAGTGTGTTTAATGACAATGTAATGACAAATATAGTTATATTTTGAAAACCGATTGACGTGGACGCAATCCATTAATTTATTGTTAAATTGAATGAATTTCAAGAATACATTCAACAATCAACGAGATAATATGCGAATTATAAAAACGTTTTTGTATATTGTGCCTATTTGTCAAAACAACAATTGTTATGATTACATACTAAATAGAATAAAAACAAACTTTAATGGACACTAACAAAAACCTGTTAGATACTAAAATACATTAGGTCAAAAAGTAAGCAAGTATACACGGCGCCCTTTGCACCTTATCGTTGTAAGATTTCTTATAAGTATTCTTTTGTTGAACAAATCAAGAATAAATATAAAAATGAAAAAAGTTAAAAATGAAAATCTTTCGTTAGTGTATTCTGTACGTAAATTTCACTTTTATTAGATTTGATAGTGATAGCGTTCGCACTAATTTACAACAATATATAAACTCTTGCTTGTTGGTTTTTGGGAAATTACGGCGTTTGTGTATTTGGGAGAATTCCCACCGACTCTTTGAAATTTACAACAATAGATTGTTAAATGTCAAAGTCGCGCACTTGGTGTGCTAAAAGAAAACTAGTTACATTTTTCAATCGACTCTTTTCGTTTCTATATCAGAAAAAGTATGCGAAATAAATTCCCATGGGACGCACAGCAATAACACTTCACATAAAAGGTAGGCTATTACATAAATTGTTGTAGTGATATATGATCAATAGATTTAATGGCTAAACGGTTTTTTTTTCATTTTAGACAACATCTGTCGTATAATACTGTAATATATCTTACTGTGAAAACTTATCATGCTTAAACGAAACGAAAACTATCCACCTAAAACGGTTCGGAATTCCAAGAAAATACGACTTTAAATAACCACAGAGTACCTACCTAATAATCCATACAAAAACCATCTATGTGGTACCTACCACATGTGTGATTTTGAGAAAATAATACTTTCTTATTTTGAGTTCTATTACCACTTTATTTTGAGTTATAGCTAATGTACCTACCTACCTATGCAAAGTAAATAAGTATAAATTATGCCTTGCAGTATTTCATAGTTTTGCACAAGCACGTACTAGCATTAAATGATCGACAAGGAAACACTGTCGATAATTTAATGCTAGCAATAAAACGACCGCAGTAGACAATTAAACATTAAACTATTATTTTTATGCAATGCCTAATTTTTTAACTAAACGTTCAATGTTGCTGGTTTCAGCTAACATTCTGCTGTGATGTGGGATTTATGGGAAAGAAACATGACTCTCTCATCCACCGGTATGATACCACCGCTTCATAGAACACCAATGTTAAGTAATTATTTCGTCGCTTTTCAACGAGTGAGTGAGGTTACCAGAGGCTCAACTCCCTCTCCTCTTACTTTTGAGGGGGGGAGATACTCCAAGTGCAGGTGGCAATGGGCGTCGGTAGTCACTTGCTATCAGGTGACCCGTCTGCTCGTTTGCTAGCTTTATTCTGCCTTTATAGTATTTACTTCCATTTTAGTTAGTTTTGTAGTACATCCGACACAATTTAACAATTATATGTGATAAATAGAAAAACGGTATTTTTGATCAGCAAAAGTTGGTAGTAATTTTAGCGATAAGGGCGTTGACAATTTAACCGTATGTTTTTTTTTTCGAAGCGATGCGAATGTCTACACCTAATCAGTGTAAAACAGTGTGCCTCAAGTAGTAATTCTTACTCAATAACATTGTCCATTATCTTAAGAACTAGGTCTCTTAAATTCACGAGGTCAACACAAAAAGCCGGGCAGTAGATCTGTCCGTGTAAACTAAGAGTTAAGATTCAGTATTAGGGTAACTCAAACATAGTTTAGCAGAAACTTGTGTTGAAAGTATGTGCTATGTGCGTATATTGTAATTATATATCTACTACAGCCACTTATACCTGTACTGTCATGTGAATAAGGATAAATTAGAAACAGGCACTGCACTCACGAAAATACTTCAAACATTAATAACATTTCTCTGAAGATGTTAGCGTATGTTTTAAAGCATAGAATAATAAAAAAATCAAGTAAGTACTTACTAGATCTTAATGCCGAATCGATATGCTTCAGTATCCTAAAGAGAAAGCTCTGCTGACCCCAGAAGAGAGTTAGAAGAGTAGCCGGCGCGAGGTACCGCAGCGTCGTCAAGATAGCATCTAAGGCCGATGACCACATGCCGCGGTCCACCTCCAGCTCAGGGTACTCTGGGATCGTAAACAACCCTGAAATAGAAACAACATAAAATTTAAACTCTAAAAAAATACATCGAAATGCCAACCAACCCACATAAACCAAGGAAATTTTAATCACGAGCTTGAATTATTTAATAAGGTGTATGCTTAAGGCGGAATTGGAGGCCACGATAAGTTATGAATATAATCTAGTAAGTAAAACCAAGATGATTTTTTTTCCTAATAGGTCGTTTCCTGTGAAAAAGGACTGATTGATTACAGATAAAACGCTTTGGTTCTAGCTCTCAGTGAGTTTGGTATAACAAATTGTCACAAGATAGGATTCGTTCGACACGTTAAGTTGACCAGATCTACATGTCAATATCATGTAGAGAATTATGATATAAGAAGTGATATATTTAGAAAACCTTAGTTCGGGAAGTGATGTTATATTTTGTTGTTTTACTCCATAACTGACGTAAAATTCTGACGGTAGTTACGTCTGTCGTACACAGGTACTCTACTACATCTTAATAAAATAGTCATCCTGTCTGGCTTGATTAGTATTTTCTTTTGTGACATCATTTAATTAGCACCATATCTTGTTATCTGTTAACTTCCGTTATACGATTGCATTTTTTTTAATTTACACATCGTTATTTTGATAAGTTATCATAATACGAAAACGATGTCATCAGCTGTAAATATACAACTTAATTAGACTGAACAATGAATCATGTTTAACGGTCTAAATATTGCCTGAATTAAACCCGAGAAATTCCAAGGGTCACGCCTCTTAGTTAGACATAAAATATAGATTAGGTACACCGACTGCAGCCATCGAATAAACAACTCAATAAAGTAGTAACATCTTTGATAAATAGAAATAAAACATTTAAAGTTAAATAAAAAACCGGTTTGATTTTAATAAAACATCAAATAGGTACAAAATTTGGTAATTTGTACCTTTGCTTTTGTCTTTAAAAAACAAACCTTTGCCACCACTTAAACCCCAAAAGCACTGATTACAATAAATGCGAGAATGGCAGCAAAATGGTAAATATCAGTCTGTTAACTTAAGACTAATCAACTAGTATGGAAATATAGCAAAGGCGATTATACTAACCAATGCTTCGCGGGTGTTCTTCTCTGCTAACGTTCTCTTTATATTCTTTCACTAAGTCTTCTGTACTGTCCGACATTTTAGTTTGGTATTTGCCCCATTATCTTTGTAACCTAATGCTAGTAATTATTATAGTACTTATGTGGTATATTTAATATTACTTTTGCGTTGTGTGTTGTTTTGGTCAAACTCCCGATACTAACGCTTATCATCGAGATCTACTTATGTATGTATAATTAAGTCTTTTGGCGCTTACTTTTTCAATAATATTAAGGTAAGAATAAGTAGTGAGAAATCAATAATGTTAGTCCTTTGTAAATAACTGTATTCTCATCATATGCTACAATACGTATACGTATTACATTAGCGAAAAAGAAGTTCAGATCATTTTAATCAGCTGTACCGCGTTACCTTCCCTGCAAAGGTATGCCGATTGACTAAAAATGAGGACTTTACATTATATTTTTCAATTTTCTGTTGTAGATAAAACAGACAATTGTGTCGGTACCTTGGCTCACATAACTTATACACACATTAACAGATAAAACTTTAAGTTAGGGAATTCCTTTGCTGCTTTTCACCGAGTGAGTGAGGTTATCAGAGCAAAACCGTGCTGTGAATTGGCCCTAATCAGGACCACTGCGAGCGAACGCACGTTCTAATTAATTCGAGAAAATTCATGAACTGCCTTCCTGTGTATTCCGAAAGTGCACGAATTACTATAAAAAGGTAAATAAAGATAAAGGAATATCATACCACTGGTAAGTGTATGTTTTGTTCTAAAATGCATTAATAGATAGATGTATGTATATAATCTATACAAATAAATAAAATTGGAGCGTCTGTTTGTAATATTAAAATAACCGCTTTTTACTAAATGTATATGTATGTTTACACGGTACATATGCCAAAATATCATTTTTTACAATTTTTGTCTGTCTGTTTGTTCCGGGTAATCTCTGGAACGGCTGGACCGATTTCGACGGGACTTTCACTGGCAGATAGCTGATGACATAAGGAGTAACTTAGGCTACTTTTTTAGACTAGCTTCATCCTGCGGCGTTGCCCGCGGTTATAACAACTAACGCGGGTAACACTGCGGGTCTCAGCTGGTATATATAATATTTCGTGCATGCAGTATGTATATAACGTATCTTCCTTAAAATATCATAGTTTAAAGACAATTATCCCCTAATTTATCAACGAGTTTGAGACTTAACAGCTAATCACAGTGGTTTAAGTTACCTAGCTTTTGTTTACTCAAGGTATAGTTAAGATCTAATGGCGTATTATCTAAAAGGTGTGACTGTATGAAGTCATAGCGCCGTGAATGCTTTTAAGATAACGCAAGTTTACAAGGCACGTGTATGATGTGGCGTTGGAATATTACCTTAGTATGACAACATGACATCATAATCAGGACAACAGCACTGCAAAGAGAAGGAAAACTTGAAAAAAACCCTATACCAACCCGCCTGGCCAGCGTGGTATAGTAGGCCAAAACCTCCTTTCTAAGGAGAGGCCTATGTCCAGCAGTGGACTAGTATAGGCTGTTGATGATGATGACAAAGAAGTTTGAAGTGTGGCAAGGATAGTTTACGACTGGGTGCTTAGTCTCTTTTTTTGGAAAAACTGCTAGTGTAAGGTGTTAGCTACACTCATGAATGTAGATTGTAATAATTAAGGTCTTCTGCCGTAATAATATTTTCTTCTCAGCTAAAATGCAAATTATGTTTTATTCTCTACAACTCAGAAGAAGTTTGAAAAATTATTTGACGATGGCTGGAGAATTTAAGGCGTGCAAGTGTTAGCAAGTGTAATAGGTAATATAGCAAACAAATAAACTTAGTTTAAAATTTATAATACTCGTATTAGGGTGACTAACATCGGCTACTGGTATCCAAGACGGCCTAATATCATGATGTATAGAAATGAGACAAGGCTGACCGATATTTGCACAATGTTTAGCTGTAACGATATCTAAACACATTATAATAATATATTAGTCGATGGTAGTATTGTAATCAAAGTCAACCATTTTATTATATACCTTTTGCTATTACATTGTTGTTAAAAGAAACTAAATGAAAAGGGTTTTGAAAAAACGTAACTGTACTGAAAAATTAAAATACGGCATGTACTATACTGTAAATACTTACTGTCAAAAGATCTTGAATAATATCCTAAATCTTTTGATAGTACCCCTGTACTAAAAAAAACACTCGTTTCATATCGTAGACAGAAAATTTTCATATTTATAGGTTTTGGGTTATTATTAGACATGAAATCCATTTTGCTACGTAAATAAACAACACACGCATGTAACCTACATGTCAAAATAAATCCAAATGTCATGGATATCATGACAAACATCAGATACAAAACTTTCGATGTTCATATCTGATACAATAGCGAAACCATTTCGCCGTGTTTTTAACAAGTAGATTTCTTTTTATGGTATAGAGTACACGAGCAACCGGTCACCTTATGGTAAGTGACTATCACCGCCTATGTACGCCTGCAACTCAAGAGTCCTTCCTCCCCTCCCATCGGTTTTCCGTAAGGAGTGATATCACTCCGGACGAGCCTGGTCCATTTGTGGTGAAGCATAGCTCTTCTACAAGGTAAGAGTTTGCTAAGTATTTGTATCTTTATTTTTTATTGAATACGACGAGTCCCGCACTAGGAATATATTATCCTGTGTTGCGGGGAAATTTATAGACATACATGTAATGGACACAGAACACCCAGATTCAGAACAATAATTTGTGTATCACACAAAGGGTTGTCCCATGTGGGGATCGAACCCGTAACACTCAACGCAGTAGGAAGCGGCGAGGAGCTTAAGCAAAGAACAAAAAAAAGAGCTTGAGCTCAAGCCACTACTTCATCCGTGCAGTTGTCGAGTCGAGTGCACCTTATTTAATGAAAACATTGTTTAAAAATTAGGAGTACTATTACTATATTTCTTTAGGTATGTTTTTTAAGTTCTAGGTTCCTTTTTGCTAAAAACTTTAGGATGGATATATTCAACCTAATGTGCCAAATGTCATAGATGTCGCGATTGATAGAGGTCAAATAAACAAGTAATTATTGAAAAACAAACAAACCCCGACTGCGAGGATAATGTATACTTAAAATTTTCAAAACGGCCTTTTAATTTTATATTTTTTCCAAGTGTCATTCTTACAATTAAGACGAATATAACGATACCTCAAACGCCAAAATCCGTCAAGCCGTTTAGGCTACAGAGCCTGGCAAAGAAATATACAGGGTGTAAGGGACGTCGTAACGAATACTGAAAAAGTGTATTCAGACCATCATTCTTAATCGAAAATCATTGGAATTTTAAATTATATTAATATAATAACAATGCCCTAACTTATATCAAAAATGCAAACTTAATGTCTAAAATTCGGACTTCAGATTTTTTTGACTGGACTAAGTATGTTCATCAGCAGTCTGGCTCCCATGATACAGGCTCTGCATAGTTTGAGATCACACAGCTGTGTGTGATATTATTTTTATTATTATTTCTGAGAATCACATTCCTACTTACGTTTTATAGCCGATGTTTGAGGAGACGGTTCCTTGCAAGGTGACAATCGCTTATTAACCTCTATTTCTCGTATTTTTAATAAAAAATCAAAACCACATTGCAACAACATAATTATAATCGAAGTTAATCAATAAAATATGAAACAAAAAATCAAATACGACTAGATAACACACACGAGTTACTCAACAATGATATATTCTAACCAATTACTGATATTTAAATTTCTTATCTACTTACTAGAAAATTTCTCTATCACAATCTGCATATCAACATAGTATCAATATCACTGAATTAACGGTAATACTCGTTAGCAACGCAAGAAGAAGTGACCACAACTATCCGGATTTTAACTATCCATCTTGGTAAATATCAGTTATCTTATCTTGCTATGAGTGTAAAGTGTTTTATCATCTTTGTTATAATTGGAGCAAATTGTTTGTCTGTCCGTATGAAACATTCACATTTACTTAAGGAATATTGTCTAGGAGATATCACTTTTGTTGTGTTATGAGTTTAATATGCAGTGAAGGAGAGGCCTATGTCCAGCAGTGGTCTATTAAAGCCTGTTGATGATGAGTTTAACGTAAGAATGACTATCTTCCTTCTTTTTTTTCCTCTCTCTTTTTTAAGAACAAATTAACTCCTGCAAAAGGAATATAACCTGTGTCGCGGGGGACTTTACAAACAGATCACCTAGACTCAGAATAACAATTTGTGGATCCTACAAAGTGTTGCCACGTGTGGATTATCGACCCCACAACACTCAACGCGCTGGAAAGAGGCGAGATGGCCGCTTAAACCACTACACCATCCATGAAGTCATCTGTGTGTCTGTTTGTGGTGTCGTAGCTGTCAAACGGCTGATCCGGTGTTGGTGATTTCTTTGTTTAAAAGGTGACTTGATTGAGAATGTACTTAGCTATGATTCAAGGCATCGTTTAACCGTTTGAAGATTATTATCGTATTTCGGGGTTTTTTTAATTTAAATTTTAGTTTTGTTATTACTTACTGTCGTTTAATTTGTTATTTTTAAGTCAAATTTTGTTTAGTTAATTGCAAGTTTTATATGTATCATATTTTTTACTATTTTGAGTACTGTACAATACAATGGCCGTTTATATTGTTTTTATTTATCTACGTAGTATAATTCACGTTTGAGTAATATCGTAAGTGAAACCGTGGGAATACCTTGTTAAAACCCGCACGTTAGTAATGTTATGATTCACAGATAAGATGGTTTTTGAATCTCAATGCAAACATTAAATAAAACAATTGTTAGAATATACCATACATCGTAATAAGAAGTCAAGACACATGTTCCATTAACAAAAAGATTCTCATCCTTCAATAAACGTAGTTTAAGATTTAGTGTAAGAAATTACTGACAATACCTTTATATGAGAATAGATCAAAAGATGGGGTCACACCTGTGAATCCATCTACTGATCTAACGTCTATAGACCAGGGCCAATCATGTTTAAGCTATATTTTTTTTAGCAGTACATCTAGAAATTATATAG